TTCATTCTCAGTAGATAACCTTCCCTCCCTTTTCCACATAAAAATCTATCTTCCTCTTTTTCTTCTCTCTTCTTACATTAAAGGAAGTGTCTTTCCTCCTAAGGCAATCAAAGCACTTGTATAAATGATCCTTCTCTGCCTGTACCAATTATCTCTCCCCTCACACTTCCTTTTAACTAGATCCTTCCCAATGATTTTTAAATGAGTTCATCTTAAAAGTTTCCCAGAAACTCACATGCCCATTCAGTTATTGCCCCATCTGTCTCTGTTCCTTTACCAATAAATGTTCCAGAGAGTTGGCAATTCTCATAGTCTCTTTTTTCCCATGAACTACTCACCCCTCATTGTTCTCTAGTTGAAGATTCTACTCCTTTCACACTAAAAAAATAGTCCTAGCAAAGGTCATAAATAATCTCCAAGTGATCATACGGCGTGATAAAACATTCTTCTTTTGGCTCTTGTTAAACCACTCTCTCATACCCACCCTGCCCCTCATTTTTCTTCTTATTCCTTCCCTGTCTCCTTTACAGGCTCAAACTTTTCAATTGCTAGACGATGGGGATCCTGAAGTTTCCATCTTCCAATCCTCCACCAGTTCACTGGTTGAGTGCCCTAATAACCCTCGCTGGCTTTAGGATAAAGACAAAAATATTTAACATGATTGTCTTAGTTCAGATTACCATAACAAAGTATCACAGACTGGGTGGGTTATAAACAGAATTCCTCATAATTCTGGAGGTTGCACATCCAAAATCAGGGTCCCAGCGAGTAGGGTTGAAAGTCTTCTTCTGGGTTACAGACCGCCAACTTCTTGTTGTATCCTCACATGGCAAAAGGAGAGGTAGAGAAATCTCTGGGATTGCTTTTATGAGGGTACTAATCCCTTTATAAGGGACCTACCCTCATGGACCTTCCAAAGGTCCCACCTCCTAATACCATCACACTGGGGGTTAGGATTTCAATATACGAATTTTGGGGGGTGGGCACAAACATTCAGTCCATTGCAATGACCTACAGGATTCTGCATGATGTAGTCCCTGGTTCCCTCTCTAGCCTAATTTCATACCATTCCCTATCCATTTTTTTTCCCCACTCTTAGCCATTCTGATGTTCTTTCGGTTCCTTAAAATTGCCAGGTTCCTTCTGCAGGGCTTAACACTTGCTTTTCTCTCTAATTTGAAACACTCTCCACCACTACTCTCCCCTATATTTGGTTAATATAGCCCCTCAGCTCAAGGGCCATATCCTCAGAGAAATATTTATGACATCACCTCTGCCCCTAGGCTAAGTCAGGTCTAGTTTTTATATGCAGTTATAGAATCTAGATCATTTTCTTTAAGAACAATTATCTCAGTTTGTAATTATGTATCCATTAGAGTGATTGTTCAATGTTCTGAATTAGACGGTAGACTCCATAATATTGTCCCACTCGTTCTTGAGGCTATGTTCATTTTATTTTTCAATCTTTTTTTCGTTCTGTTCTTCATATCAGACAATTTCTATTTATCTATCAAGTTCACTGATTCTTTCCTCATTCATTTCCATTCTGTTGTTGAATCTATCCAGTGAATTTTTATTTCAGATATTGTATTTTTTAGTTCAAAATTTACTTGCTTCTTGACTGTTTCTATTTTTCTGCTGTGAATGTGTATCTTCCCATTCATTACAATTATACTTCTCTTTACCACATGAAACAGTTATAATAGGTGCTTTAATATCTTTGCTAATTCCAATATCTGTGCCATTTTGGGTTGACATTTATTGATTTTCTTTTCTTATAAGACATTCATTTCCTGGTTCTTTATATGTTAAGTACTTTTCGAGTATATCCTTGACATTTTGTTGTGTAGACTCAAGGTCTTGTTAAAATCCTCTGAAGAATGTTTAAAATTTTTGTTTATTTCAGTAGGTAATCGACTTGGTTAGGTGCAGAGGATAAGCTCTCTCTTACCTTCTGATGGCACTGGTTTCAAAGACTTTGCTATGCTGTCTTTGGTCTGTCTCATGTGTGAGCCACTCAGGGGTTAGTCTGTGATTTGGGCAGTGTTTTCCCCCCATTTAATTTTAAGATTTTTATCTTACTTTAGTTCTTCAAGCCATTGCTATGCTGCTTTAGGCCTGTCTCATGCATGCACAGTTGGAGATGACCCAAAGCACCTGGGTGGGTTCATATGCAGAACTAAGGAAACTCATTCTCCAGTTTTTTCCTCTCCTAAATCTGTACCCTGGTATATCTCTCAAGGTCTTTTTTCCTGGTTCCTCTGGTCAGAAGATGGGGTTTTTCTCTGAGTTGTAGTTGCCCATAATGTCACTAATAGGACCTGCCCTTGGGGAAAAAACACAAAAGGAAAACAACAATAACAAGGATTCCTCATGCTCTCTTTAAACTATAGGGTCCATTTTCCCACATCTTTAGGCCATAAAAATAGGTCTTCTATTGTAGTTTTGGCCTCCTGTGCTGTCCTTGCATGGTTTTATGACTGGAGCCCGTCTTCAGGTCAAACCTGCAAAAGAAATTCAGTCTTGTAGTTTTGACTCTCCTTCACAATCCACTTGCTTTTGTTTACTTTTCGATCTTCAGGTAGTTGCTTTTCACATTTTGTCTAGAGTTTTTGATTGTGAGCAGTAAAAAAGAGGTCGCAGTGGACCTATTACATCTTGGAGGGAACTGGAAGGCTGGGTGCTCCACGAGAGGAGGGACAATATCTGGTTTTATTCTTGATCTACATGTGGTAGGCACTCAATAAATATTTATGAAATAAATATGGAATGAACTGAGAATTTTAAAATGCCAGATACTCAAGATGACAACAAAAACAAAAACATTTCTGCATGTTAACAAGAAAGGCATCTTTTGTAGAAGAGTAAGATATTCCAACACCAAGAATAGGCTTTACAAATACATTAAGAAAAAGGAAGTAAATTATAGAATGAATAAGGTCCTTAATGATTATGCTGCAAATACAAACAAGAAATCAACAGGACAAATTAGAAAAAGATTCTCTTTCTATAGAAAAAAATTAAAGAGTGGAAGGTTTGAAGAATTAGGACCCTGGCTAAGGTAAGATTTTAGGATTTTTAAAGTATTTAAAAAGATTTTTGGTGCAAAAATGGAAGAAGATAGAGGAAAATCTAGATGCCTGAGTAATGTAGGGATCAGAAGCAGACTAGGCAGGACATATGAACCTTAGCTCTGCCCCCATTGCCCCCTCTTTCTTTTTTAATACTGTGCCTACCTGCTTTCCTCTTTGCTCTAGATATCTCCTTCTCTCCATTTTCCTTTGGACAATTCTTGCTTCCCCCCTGGAGATGTCTTTTTCTTATGTAATCAATTTTTAAAATGCTGATTTCCTTAATATAATATAAATTTTGTAATTTAAAGTGTAGATAAACTCATAAAATTTATCTTTCTTTTAATAAATTTTTAGGAGTCAATTTCTTGACAGAATAAATCTTATCAACAGCTCTGTGCAATTATTTAAAATAAATCTGATATAAGCAAAAACCTACCTGTATAAATCAGAATTGTGGTAATCCAGGTGTCTAAGGATTACATAGACTGTATCCTGTTAGGAGTCCTCTCATTATATGTCTGGATAGCTGGCATAATGGAAAGAATGAGGGCTTTGAAATCAGATATATATTAGTTGCATGATCTTGGGGAAATTACAGTATCTGGTCATCTTTTTTTTTTTTTTGTAAAGATTTTATTTATTTGACAGAGAGAAAGACAGCCAGAGAGGGAACACAAGCAGGGGGAGCGGGAGAGGGAGAAGCAGGCTTCCCGCTGAGCAGGGAGCCCAATGCGGGGCTCGATCCCAGGACCCTGGGATCATGACCTGAGCCGAAGGCAGACGCTTAACGACTGAGCCACCCAGGTGCCCCGAATCTGGTCATTTTTTAATGAGCATAATACTATCTACTTTTCTTACTTTGTGCTCACAGCTAGAGAAAGCAGAACGAAATTTGAGACTAGCCAATCAAATCTGATTTTATTAGACATTAGGGCATGATTTTCATATACTAACAAAAAAAGACTTCATAGTGGTTTATATTCTAGTATCTTTTATTTATGATCACTTCAGTTTCATTTTTAATTTTATGATATAGTTATTTCAATAAGCTTCTTTTAAAAACATATTTATTTATTTATTTGAGAGAGAGAGAGAGTTAGGGGGGATGGGCAGGGAATCCCAAGCAGACTCCATACTGAGCGTGGAGCATGAAGAGGGGCTAAACCTCACGACCCCGAGATCATGGCCTGAACCCAAACTACAAGTGGGATGCTTAATGGACTGCGCCAACCAGGTGCCCCTCAATAAACTTTGTAAAAATCCTTTTTGGAATAAGACAGAAATAAATCAACACATACTATATATCTTGCTATTATGGGGATAAAGTAAGAAGTTTGTACAGTTCATAGCAAAAGCTATGGTATTCAACTGATAATCTTTATTCAACTGATAATTTTTATGGGGATGTTATCATATTGCTAAACTTTGCTTTTAAAGTAGTGGGAAATTTTGATGGATTTAAGAGGTTCTGGCTTTATTAGAATGTCTCTTTGATTATAAATGTTAATGGACACAGTGTGTTATCAAAGAGTGGGAAATCTAAGCTTTCTGCTTTTAATCTGCTACATAGTATTGAGTAAATTTCTTGTCACTTCTCCCTGTACCTCATTTCCAAACTTCTAAAATGAGGTAGAGAGGGAGGAGGTTAGATGATCTGAGGTTTTTATCAGTTTTACGTCTATGCTTCTTTCTATTCACTTATGGACCTACTGAGAAACAGCGTGCAAGAATACCAACACATGTTGCTTGGGATCTACCTACACATCTTATATAAATATGTATATATGTGTATATGTATGTATATCACATAATAGAAACAACTTCTTGTCTTTCCTTGGTGTGTGTTCTACTATATACTGTACTTTGGGGTTTATCATTTTGAAGCACTGTTGTGCAACGGTGACATCTAGTGACTATAACACCTACCAGCAAAATTTATGGCCAAGTCTTAGTTCTCCAAATATGGATGATTCACTCTGCGGTTTAGTTAAATACTTTAAAATCATTCTTTATTTCTCTCCCCTACAGATTTAAAAAATATCAATTAAGTTTGATAGCAGCATTAATAATTGGATACATAATAAGGGAAATTTCTTTCAAAAAATCATAATACTTAGAATTAAGTATAAACTATTCTAAGTGAGATTGCAACTTCTTTCCTTCCATTGAAAGCAGAACTGGGATTTGAATTCAGGTGTGTTTTAATATGTAATCCATGCTCAGAGCCACTATGCATTACTGACACATAATACTCATTTAACATATATTTATTAAATGAATGTTAGGTAAAGCATATGCATCAATATCTATTTATATGTATTGCTTTAGGATCTTTGGAGCTATTATTATCTTTTATACAAAGAAGTCTTTCTGAGTGTACATCAAAGATCATCAAGTAAAAACTACAGTTGAGAGCTGTATCTACAAAGAGAATATTCTTTATACAGAGCATTCAAATTAGAACAGGACTTTTTGTTTTGTTTTGTTTTTGTTTTTAAGATAATGACTAGCTGGCATTATTATTTAATCAGGACAATACAAATCTGGGCTAAACTAGTACTCCAATTCAAATTGACTTTGCCACCGTTAAAATTCCTATAGTATTTAGTATTTGTTCTCATTAATCAGATATTATCTTGAATTTTTATTCTTTTCAGGTGCCTAGATCTTGTTTCCACAATAAAATGGTCAGGTATTCCAGGGTTCAGAGCATGTTTTATATCCTTGTCTTTCCCTTAGCCCCAACCACAATGGTTTTTCTCACCAAATAATAAAGTTACCAACAACTTACCCAGAATCCATGGTTTTCCACGATATGGCATCAAACTATCATGGCTTTCTCTCTAGTTCTCTTGATTCTACATTTCAGTCACATTAAACTGTTAATTGTTCTCCCATGCATTTTTGGGTTTTTTTGCTTGTAATGCTTTACCACTGCATCTCTTCTTTGTAAGTGAAATATTGCTTAAGGGTATTTCCAATAGGACTTCCTGTAAGGCATAGCACAAACCTAGAAGTCGTCTTCCCTTTTTGAATTCTCACATCACTTTATCACTTGTCCTACATTCATTCTAGCTCTCTAGTTGTCCTTTCTTGGTCTTCTTTTTCTCTATCCATCCTTTGAATGTTGGAGTTCCTCAGCATTCTTCCCTATGCCCTCTTCTCTTCTTACTCTACATACATTTCTTAAGAAATTTATTTTATACTCATGGCTCCAATTATGACCAATATGCTGATGAGTCTGGCCTAGAGAAGCTCTGTTAAGTTTCTTTTTTTTTAAATTTAATTTTATTATGTTATGTTAATCACCATACATTACATCATTAGCTTTTGATGTAGCGTTCCATGATTCATTGTTTGCGTGTAACACCCAGTGCTCCATTCAATACGTGCCCTCTTTAATACCCATCACCAGGCTAACCCATCCCCCCACCCTCCCCTCCTCCCCTCCAGAACCCTCAGTCTGTTTCTCAGGGTCCATAGTCTCTCATGGTTTGTCTCCCCCTCCGATTTCCCCCCCTTCATTTTTCCCTTCCTACTATCTTTTTTTTTTTTTTTTTTTTAACATATAATGTATTATTTGTTTCAGAGGTACAGGTCTGTGATTCAACAGTCTTACACAATTCACAGCACTCACCATAGCACATACCCTCCCCAATGTCTATCACCCAGCCGCCCCATCCCTCCCACCCCACCCCCCATTCCAGCAACCCTCAGTTTATTTCCTGAGATTAAGAATTCCTCATATCAGTGAGATATTGGATACATGTCTTTCTCTGATTGACTTATTTCGCTCAGCATAATACCCTCTAGTTCTATCCACGTCATTGCAAATGGCAAGATCTCATTCTTTTTGATGGCTGCATAATATTCCATTGTATATATATACCACATCTTCTTTATCCATTCATCTGTTGATGGACATCTTGGCTCTTTCCACAGTTTGGCTATTGTGGACATTGCTGCTATAAACATTGGGGTGCACATACCCCTTCGGATCACTACATTTGTATCTTTGTGGTAAATACCCAGTAGTGCAATTGCTGGGTCATATGGTAGCTCTATTTTCAACTTTTTGAGGAACCTCCACACTGTTTTCCAGAGCGGCTGCACCAGCTTGCATTCCCACCAACAGTGTAGGAGGGTTCCCCTTTCTCCGCATCCTCGCCGCTCTGTTGAGTTTCTAAATAGTGTATTTAAGTACTTACATGTATCTCTACTTCATTGTCTTTACAAGCATCTTAAGCTCAATATATGCACAACTGAACTCAAAACCTTCCCCCACTGAATCTATTCCTTCTTCAGAGAATTTCCTATTTCAGAGAATGAAGCCACCATCTATCCTGTTGCTGAAATTAGAAACCGAGGAGTCATTCCTTCTCCTTCCCTGCTGATAGCCAGTGAGTTACTAAATCATGTTAATACAAGCTCCTAAATAATTGTAAATTTTGTCCACTTCTCTCATTACAAATTGCCACTGCTCCAGTCCAGGCCATAAGCACCTTTTCCCATAAGCTCTGTAATGACCTCCCAACTGTTCTCCCTACCTCGTCTTGGGCATCCCCTTGTAATGTCCACAAAGCAGCATCATCTAAAATGATGATTATGGCACGATTATGGCAACTTCCTGCCTAATATTCCTCAATGGCTTCCCATAGACGAAAAATGTCCAAACTCAAATGCAGCTTACGGAACTTATTTTAATAAGGGCTAACCTTGTCCCTGCCTATCTCATTTTTTAACTTGTCTTTTTAAACATCAGCTATATTTTAGTTCTTTAAACCTGCCAAGCCTCATATCTCTGAGACTTTTTACATTCCGTATACTGTCTTCCACCCCTACACCCCTGTTTTTTGCACAACTAACTCTATATCAGTTTAGAGATCCTTCCTTTAGAAGTTCCCTTTAGGATGCATCCTTATCATAGCATCCATCCCTTATCACAGCATTAGTGTATCTCACTAATACAATTGCTTGTTTAACTATCATCATTCTATTATTTGACAAATATTCAGTGAGACCCCACTATGTAACTGGTACTGTATTCATTCTCCTTTGTGCATAGAGTTTAGTCAATACAGGGTATTGTGGAAGCACATATAGTTTGTGCTTGGGAGAGGGCCAAAGATTTACCTACTAGATTAAATCAGCGCTGATTTCATAATCATTTCTGAGTTCTTTGAATTACCTAGATGGTAGGTAATTATCTAATCTCATTAACTGTTGAGTTTTAAACATATAAAAAAAAGTTTTTGAATTGTAAAAGAACTCTAGGCAGCCATTACTTTCTACCTAGCAGTTTTTCTTTGATATCATTTTGGATATAATAGAGTATAAAAAGCAAAGAGACAAACTACTACAGTAAAAAATATGGGATTTATTGTCAGAACACTGTGGTTAATAATTCTGCCACTTACTAGGTATGTGTCCTTGGTTAAGACCCTTAACCTCTCTGAGCCTCAGTTTCCTCATCTGAAAAAGGTAGCTATAAAATCAGATGAGATAAGAAAAAAAAAAACGCATAGCACAAAATGTAAAAGGCTACCCCAATGCTATTTATTATTATTATTATTATTATTATTATTATTATTATTATTATTAGAGTAAATACAGATCAGGTCTCCCTATTACTGGTAATCCCAGTTCTACAGGCAACAGGATTTCCAAATTCATCCTTCATCTCCACTTTACTATTTAAGAGTTAGGGTTTTGCAATTTAATAAACACATATTGATGGAAGTGGTTAAAAAAAAAAGCCCCCCCCCCACACACAAATTTAACAAGTAAATATTAAGGGGATAAGAGAGAAACAAAGCAGCAGCCTATGACAATCTAGAATTTGGATATAAGGATCCAAAAAAAAAAAAAAAATCAAGGCACTTTTTTTTTTTTTTAAATGTTAACCGGAAGGGTAGGTGGCACAAAAGAGTGATGCTGTGAGCCATTTATCAGTAAAATGGTAACCTATTAAACTGGGAAGTCAGGATATCTGGATTCAAGAACTCACTTGGTCACTAACTTACCACTAATAACCAGGTAGCCAATCCTCCCAACAGTCTGGTCTTATGACTCCTTGGCTACTATGATCTTTTCCCTCACACCATCTCAGTTACCCACTCACAAGGCCACAAATCTCAAATGGGCACTTGATCCTGCCCAGCTATGCTACTGTGCTTCTCTAGTATTGCTATAGACTGAATATTTATGTCCCCTCAAAATTCATATGTTGAAATCCTAACCCCTAATGTGATGGCATTAGGAGGTGGGGGTCTTTGGTATATGATTAGGTCATGAGGACAGAACCCTCATGAATGGGATTAGTTTCCTTAATAAGAGTTCCTGAGAGCTCCCTAATCCCTTCTGGCTATCTGTGAACCAGGACTAGGGCTCTCACCAGACACGGATTCTGCCAGCACCTTGATCTTGGACTTCCCAGCCTCTAGAACTATGAGAAATAAAATTGTTTATAAGCTACCTAGTCTATGCTATTTTGTTAGAGCAGCCTAAGACAAGTATGACTGCCTTCTGTCCTCTAAAATGACTATTTTATGGGGCATCTGGGTGGCTCAGTCGGTTAGGTGCCTGCCTTTAGCTCAGGTCATGATCCCAGAGTCCCTGGGATTGAGCCTCGCACTGGGCTCCTTTCTCCAGGGAGCCTGCTTCTCCCTCTCCCTCTGCCTGCCGCTCCCCCTGCTTGTGTTCTCTCTCTCAAATAAATAAAATCTTAAAAATATAAAATAAAATAAAATGACTATTTTATGCCTTCTTTTCACCCCTTAGGCCTCCTACCCAAACATTCTTCCTTTTCTCTCCTTACTGATCTAGCCTCAGACCTTCTACTTTGAGAAACTCTCTCCTGAGATCACTGAATCTATTCATCTATCTGCATCTCTACCTATACTCACTGCCTTTCTTTCTATTACTATAAATTTTATATTCATGTTTCTGAGCCAACATGTCTACATATTCCCTGGATCCCATTCTCTCTTGTTTTCTCAAAGACTTCATTCTTAAAACATATACATTCTCTCTCTTTTTTTTTTAAGATTTTATTTATTTATTTGAGAGAGAGAATGAGATAGAGAGAGAGAGCATGAGAGGGGGAGGGTCAGAGAGAGAAGCAGACTCCCTGCCGAGCAGGGAGCCCGATGCGGGACTCGATCCCGGGACTCCAGGATCATGATCTGAGCCGAAGGCAGTCGCTTAACCAACTGAGCCACCCAGGCGCCCCTACATTCTCTCTTATGCTATAATTTTTCTCCTCTACTGGATAATTCCCATTAGCCTAAAAACACACTTCAGTATTCCCATCTTTGAAAATTCTACTTTGACCTCACATATTCCTCTATTACCTACATTTCGCAGCTCTTCTTCATGAAATATCTTGAGATATCTATAGTGCTATGTCTATTTCTTCACATTACATTTTCTCTTCATTGTGCTTGTCAAGGCACATAACTACTACATGTTGCCAAAATCCAATGGTCAGATCTCTTTTTTTATTTGAATTTTCAGCATGTTTCAATAATACTGGCCATGCTTTGTTGTCTTGGCTTTTAAGTCACCGCATTTTTTTTTTAAAGATTTTATTTATTTGAGAGAGAGAATGAGATAGAGAGAGCATGAGAAGGGGGAGGGTCAGAGGGAGAAGCAGACTCCCCGCCGAGCAGGGAGCCCGATGCGGGACTCGATCCCGGGACTCCAGGATCATGACCTGAGCCGAAGGCAGTGGCTTAACCAACTGAGCCACCCAGACGCCCCTTAAGTCACCGCATTTTTGGGGTTTTCTTCCTACTTCACTGGCTACTCTTTCTCCATCTCCTTCGCTTGCTTCTTTTCCTCTGCTTTACCTCTAATCATTGGAATGCTCTATGAAAACACTTTCTCCAGGTAATTTTTTCTACATGCTGATGTTTCTCAACTTTGTGTCTTTGGTTCCTTACACAGAACTCAAGACACTGAACTTACTTTAGATTTCTGATAAGCATATCAAACTTAAGGTGAGCAAAATAAAAACAACCCTCCCCCAACACACACACACACACACACACACACACACTCATTTTCTTTAGTCTTTTTCATTTAGTAAACGGCACAACCATCCACTCAAATTCAAGAGAAAAGCCTAGGAGCTTCTCTTTTTTTCTCACTCCTATATTCATAACATCACCAAGTCTGTAGATTCTGCCTCCAAATACATCTCATATCCATCCACTTCTTATACCACTCTAGCCCAAACTACTGTCATTCTTTCCTGGATCACAACTATCTTCTGCTACTAATCTTCTCCCGCAATCCCTATGATCCATTAACCACATACTAGGCAGAACACATCTTTTTTCAATGTAAATCAGATTATATTACTCCCTTTCAGAAGAACTCTTTGCTGGTTTATCATCTTTGCTGGTTTAATGAATTCCAAACTTATTCCATGGGTAGATCTCCATGATCTATTCAAAGCCCCTACCTATCTCTTCAAGGTCATATTATACCACTTTATCCATATTCCAGCTACAGCAGTCTTATGGTGTTCCTTGAAAGCTACTGTAGGATTTTTGCAGTTGGAGTTTCCTTCAACTGCAATGCTCTGATCCTAAATATTTCTGTGGCTGGCTTTTTTAGATCACTGAGGTCTCAGCACAAACGTTAGCTCTTCAGAGAGCCCTTCCTTAACCAATCAATCTAAAGCAACTTCTTCCCCAGTATCTCTCTCACTTCATACTGTTTTACTTCTTCACGTCACTTAACATTATCCAATTTTCCTTGTTCATATCTTGTTTCCTTTTTCACTAAATTTTATGAGAACAGGAGTCTTGCCAGTCTTTCTTACCATTGTATTCAGAATAATGGCAAAATAGTAGTTCCCTAAAGATATTTAATAAACGCCTGTTCCTGAGTGAGTCACTCGACCTCTCTCACATTTGTGGACTTATGAGTGCTAGGCTTAGCTCTGGGTCCAGGGAACACAAAGGCGAATAAGGCATGGCTCCTTGAGGATCTCATACATTCATCCCTTCAACAAATATTTACTGAATGTATATTACACTAAGTTCCAGGTGCTGTTTGGTCTGTGTTTAGTTCCCTCCTCAGTAAAATGGAGTTTTGTTAACCAACTCCATCTCACAGAAATGTATAAACAGGATGAATATGGAAATAATGTACAAAATGAGATGTAGCATAAACATGTTATTTATATAGTACTATTACTGCACTTGCCTCTTTCCCTTGGTCCGGTAATGGGCGGGAACTCATGACAAGAGACAGCCAACTGACGAAAACAGCTATATAAATTTTGGTACTCACTGAAGGCAATAAAAATGAATGCCCTTTTCATAGGCACACAGTAACTAAACCATCTGGGGTCATGAATTCTTTAGTTGTGATAGTAACAAGTGTTAATTTTCACAGTGCTGTTGCACAAATAACCATTCTATTTACCCTTACGGAAAATTAGGGAGCACCCGGGTCAATTGCTCCTCTCCATCGCACCATCTAATTTTTCATAGGCTCTAGGACACACGTAGAGGGGCGTCAGGGACCGGGTATGGGCCTGCGGAGCTCTTACGACTCCTGAATGATGTGCTGGACACCTGGTACCTGTGCAACAACTGTCCTTCATCCTTCAAAAGCACTGATCTAAAGGGCTTGTCCACTGTGATAAAGCCAACAGAAACAGGCTGGCGACGGGGCAACTGAGAGGAGGGTGAGTTAGGGAGGAAAGCCTTCCCGGGATAAGCAACGAGCCCTGGAACACACCTCCAGTCACAGGAGCTTGTTAAGGTTCATTTGCAGATATTCGCCATTTGTACAACCGTCCGCCCTTAATAAAACTAACTTTGCAGTCAGTCTTGACTGACTGACCTCTTTTTTCTTACTTGCGAATTACCTGTAAAATGCGAGGAACAGAGGAGGAAGGGCAAGAATAAAGAAGAGATGTCGGGTGAGGGAGTAAAGAAACGGGTCAGGGTGGAGGAGAGAAAAGGGTCAGTCTCTGACAAAGGAGCCATGAACCCTCCTGGAGCGGGAGGAAAGGAGTTCCTCGGGCCACAGGAAGGGAAGGACGGCGCGAGACGAGGGACCAGTCGCGCCCAAGGGCCTGGAAAGGGACGGAGTTGAGAAAAATGGACCGTACCTACAATTCCTTCGGCATCCCTCGCCACCCCGGGAGCGGCCCTGGCGCCCAGCAACCGCCGCGTTCGCCACGCGCCGCGCTGGGGGCGGGGGGGTGGGGGTGGGGGTGGTGGAGAGATGGGGGGAGGGGCTGAAAGCCGCCAGGACCCGCCCCCGCGCGGGCAGCTGGGGCCAGGCTAATGGCCGCCGGCTCAGCGGAGGGCGGCGGGGCGGGGTCTGGGCGGGGCTGGCGAGGACGGGGCGGGGCTGGCGAGGACAGGGCGGGGCTAGTGACGGCTGCGCCCGTAAGTGGAGTGTGGTGGGCGCTCTGGCCTGTGGAGGTGGGAGTTTTGGGGTTTGCCGCGAGCACCCGGTGTGCTTTCCGTCTATTCGACTCGTTCCTTTCCAGTCTCTTGTGAATATGGACCTATTGGATTGTCAAAGTCCAGGGACAGAGTTGACAGCACAGGGCCCTTTAGCCAAAAAGCAGCGCCAGGGGGCTGCACGTGCCAGAAGTGACTTGTCACAACTCACGTTGCCTCTGAAGCCAGCTTAAATATAGTGCGGTTGTAAAAGAGAATAGTCTCTGGGGCTAAGACTGTCTGGGCTCAAATTTCGGCACTGCCACCCTACAGCTATGGAATGACAGACACATACATAGACTCCCTGAGCTTCCGTTTTCTCTTCTGTAAAGGACGTGGTTGGTGGCGGTGTGAGAAAAGTGAATTGATACGTGACAAGTGTCTGGAACAGGGCTCGGTCCAAAGTAAACACTCAATGTCCTGTTATTAGTATAAAACCTTTTTTTTTTTTCACATGAAATCTTATGTGCAGACCATATGAAACGAAAGCAGAGCTACTCTAGTTGAGGGTGGGCCCCTAGAAGCTTTGGGTTCTTAGTCCTAAGGCGCCTCTTATGGAATCTCCAAGATTCCTAAAAGAGGAAAAACAACTGTTACTGGATTAAGTCCAAACTTTTTCTGAAGACAAACTGCCCTTTTCTAACTTCGCTTCTGATACTCCAAACAACTTCAATTCCTGCACACACTGTATCCCTTTTTGCCTATGTGTTTTTTTAATGTTATTTTACTTTATTTTATTTTTTTTAAGAGAGAGAGAGTGTACGTCCAGGCATCGGGGTGGGGGTGGGGGCGGGGCAGAGGGAGAGGGAGAGAGAATCCTAGGCAGGCTCCAGGCCCAGCACAGAGCCCTAGGAGGGGCTGCATCCCAGACTCTGAGATCATGACCTCAGCCGAAATCAAGAGTAGGATGTTTAACCGACTCAGCCACTCAGGCGCCCCTAAAGTTATTCTATCAAGAGGGTTCTCTTTCCCCTTTTCTTAGTTATCCTTTAAAATCTGACTTAAATTACAACTCTTTCTAGGGCGATCAAATAAAAAAATTCTCCCTCATCTTTAGCATGGTGTAGACATCTCAGCAAGGATCGAAAGTTATTTTCTCCCTTGTTTTAGGAGAATAGACAAGATTTTTTGTGATTATAGGGTTAGGGAAATGCTTTGTACTCCTGGCAGGGAAGGGAAAAGCAGGATACTGGTGGCGGTACAGATGGTAGAGCTGGGAAGGAAGGCTTTTGAGAGGAGTCTGAAGGCCTCTAGGGCACTGCTCTGTGCTCCAGATGCAATGAACTACTGGAGAGGTTAGTGCTTTAGGGTCCATCTAAGGAGTTTGGAGAGCACATCAACAAGTGGGGTTTTGGAATTCTCATCAGAACAGAGGGCTGAAGTCAGATTTAATTTGGGTTTGTCAACTAAAACCTGTGTTACTGCTGGAGTGGAAGGGGTGGGAGGGATGGGGTGGCTGGGTGATGGACATTGGGGAAGGTACGTGCTATGGTGAGCTCTGTGAATTGTGTAAGACTGATGAATCACAGACCTGTACCCCTGAAACAAATAATACATTATATGTTAATAAAAATAAATAAATTATTAAAAAAAATAAAACCTGTGTTACTTGTTCCTAAAATGGCACAAAGCAGTTCCCACCGGTTAAAAAGAACTACATAAATTATTCATATAGAAATACAATGTTCCAGGGCGCCTGGGTGGCTCAGTTGGTTAAGCGACTGCCTTTGGCTCAGGTCAAGATCCTGGAGTCCCAGGATCGAGTCCCAGGATTGAGTCCCAGGATCGAATCCCGCATCGGGCTCCCTGCTCGGCAGGGAGTCTGCTTCTCCCTCTGACCCTCCTCCCTCTCACGCTCTCTGTCTCTCATTGTCTCTCTCTCAAATAAATAAATAAAATCTTTAAAAAAAAAAAAGAAATACAATGTTCTGAAACATTTCAAAAATAATGTCCTTCATTTATTTAAAGACAACATGATGAAAATTTAATAATGGTTTAAAAAACATTTAAAAAACATTGATACCTTTTCTTGTAAAAACTTGAGTAACTTAAAAGTAATTAAGTTGATTATATTTGCAACCATGTCATTGAAAGCAAAACACTTTTGAGGAACGAGGATTTTTTCACTAAATTTGACATGATGAAAATAGCTTAAAAATATCTTCTATATAAATGGTTCTTTACATTGGGAAGCAATAAATTGAAAGGTGATGGTCAAATAATAAAAATAGAAATGTGGTCAAACTTGGTTAAAATTTAACTGCCAATTTTCTTTTCCATTCCTACCTGTCACTAATTCTCTTATCCACCTTAAGTACCAATTATTTACTATATTCCAGGCTTCACTATTTCAAACTTTTCTAATATGCCCACCCTTTGACCTAGTTGTTTTCTTTTTCACCTTACTCTCTAATATTAATACATCAATTCAAATTGAAGGTCCATTTCAAGTTTTGCTTCCTTTAAGAAATTTTTCTTAGAACACTTAAAAAAAAATGTTTTATTGTTATGTTAATCACCATACATTACATCATTAGTTTTTGATGTAGTGTTCCATGATTCATTGTTTGTGCATAACACCCAGTGCTCCATGCAGAATGTGCCCTCTTTAATACACATCACCAGGCTAACCCATCCTCCCACCCTCTCCCCTCCAGAACCCTCAGTTTGTTTTTCAGAGTCCATCATCTCATGATTCATCTCCCCCTCCGATTTCCCCCGTTCATTCTTCCCCTCCTGCTATCTTCTTCTTTTTTTTAAATTAAAATATATTGCATTATTTGTTTCAGAGGTACAGTTCTGTGATTCAACAGTCTTGCACAATTCACAGCGCTTACCAGAGCACATACCCTCCCCAGTGTCTATCACCCAGTCACCCCCTCCCTCCCACCCCACCCCCCACTCCAACAACCCTCAGTTTGTTTCCTGAAATTAAGAATTCCTCATATCAGTGAGGTCATATGATACATGTCTTTCTCCTTAGAACACTTTTGAATTATTCATTTGAATTACAGCTATTTGTACATATCTTATTTCCTTATAAGATTCTTGAAGGCAAGTATCATGTCTCATTCATATTTGAATTCTCCACAGTGTCAGTTGCCACTAGAACTCAAGTTCCATTAAGCAGAGCCCTTGAACATCTTGGTCATTGCTGTATTCCTCGGTACTTAGCATAATGCCTGGCACATAGTAGCATATTATAAGTGCATTTTGAGTGCATGAATGTAAGGATTTGTCTGTTTTATTGATTGCAAAATGAATATTTGAATATTACCAGGTGAATGAATGATTATTTGGAAGGCTCAGTATTCATTATACACAACAGAAATTCTTCAATCTGTGTATCTTCACAGAAGTTAAATATAAAGTATTTATGTTGCCTTTCACCTAATTCAGTGGATGATGTATCTTTCTGAAAATAAGACATCCTCTAGAACTGCAAGAGTAAAATGTAAAAGAATCAAAATAAAATGATGTTTACATTAAGTTTCAATTTTGTTCCTTGTACTTTTCTGTTCTAAATTTTCTGCTATGAAAATGTCTTATTTTGCAATCAGGAAAAAATAATACTATTTTTAAAGAGTGTAAATGATGACATCATTTGCAAATGTGTGGCTGAGGAAACTTTAAGGACACCCAAGTCCAATCAAGGTTAACTGGAATTAATGCCAGAGAGAAAAATATTGGAATGTGAAAATAGTTTAGAGCTGAAACCTAATCAGATGCTCAAAAAACAAAAAACAAACAAACAAAAACCTCTCAGAGGAGAGATGGATGGCACTGACCCTGGGAAAAAAAGGACATGGTAGAACAAGTACTTACAGTGATTTTTTTAGCAGTGTCCTTGAAGTATGACACCCTGGCAATGGACTGTTTCATATGTTGAAGCCCTAATCCCCAGTGTGATGTTATGTGGAGATGGGGCCTTTGGGAGGTAATTAGGATTAGATGCGGTCATGAGGGTGGGGCCCTCATGATGGATTAGTGTGCTTGTAAGAAAAGATACCAGAGAGCTTACATATTACCCCTCCCCCCACCCATTCTCATCTCTTTCCCTAACATGTGAGGACACAGCAAGGAAGCCATAAGCAACCTAGGAAGAGAGCCCTCGCCAGAACCTGATTATGCTAGCACCCTCATGTTGGACTTCCATCCTTCAGAACTATGAGAAAATAAATGTCTGTTGTTTAAGTCACTCAGTCTATGGTACTTTCTATAGCAGCCCAAGCAGACAAAGACAGAGCTAGGAGACTAAGATCTGAAGTGTTATGTGGCAAGTGGTTTTCTATACTGGAAGAAGATCCCCTCAGTGATTCCGTTGATAAATGTTTATTAAATGCCTACTGTGTTGCATGCCCTGTGCAAACTACTGAGGATCCAAAGATGACCAAGACAAGGCTCTCACCCCTAAGGAGCTGATTTCATAGGAGACAAGCATGTAAACAAACTGAAAAAAGGGTTATAAGGGCTCTGGCAGAAGTATGTATGGGGCACATACATCCCTTCCACAGGGACTCAGGGGGTAGAGTCATTGTTTCTGTCTGTGGTTGGGGTGGGGTAGGTTTGGTTGGCCTGAGTCAACATCTGTATCAAGCTAACTCTGAGTTCACCAACCAAGTGGACAGCTGTGACTCACAATGTGGTGATAAACCTGAGACTTCAGTGGTGAGCCCTGCACAGGCCCCTACTGGACAGTTACAGAGATTTAGTTGGTGGCTGCCCACCGAGGAGAGGGAGGACAGAACCCGCTGCATGCTCTCCAAAATGGAACTGGCTATTGGCAGTGGCTGAATGGCCTCTCTCACCATTTCTACACTGTGAATTTTCACTTCTCATTCTTTGGGGCATTGACTATTTATAACAACATTCTCATTTACTTATACTAACTGTATTTTGTACAAGTTAACAAGCATTCAATGCTTGTTACTTTGACAAGAACTGCTGGAGAATGCGGGACCTGGCATTAACTGCAGCACCCTTCTGGGTCACATGCCTTTTGCTGTCTAAGTCCTAATCACCTCCCCCCATCCTAGCCAAGACCCTACTTTCTCTGGAAGCTGTGCCTAAACTGCACCAACCCTGGATTAGGTAGGTGCTCCTGTTATGAGCCCCCTAGACTCCCATATTTCCTGCATCATAGCACTTATACTATTTTGAAATCTCTTATTTAATTGTCTCCTCTATCAGACTGTCAGAGCCTTAAGGACAGGAACAGTTTTGATGATGTGCCTAGGTCATCAAATCTTCCACTAAGTATTTGTTGAATGAATCTGGTTTCAGAGCCTGTCAAAGGAGAGGACCAGATGAGCATTGGGTTTATGTTGCTACCACCAAGGTGCACCTAACCAATTAAGTTCAATTTATATCCATCTGAATTTTGGTGTAAATTAATCCAATCCAAACAAAGAGCATAAACTAGAAGAAAACACAGGACCATAGAATAACCAAATTCAGGCTGATGTAAAAATGAAGCTGTTATGGCATCATATTACATTAGCCTTATAAAAATTAAGCTGGTTTTGAACAGAGGTGAAAGTCATGGAGAAAGGGTCTGGAACAGTAGTTTAAGGACAAGAGAGGAATGGATAGGCTTTATGTAGATCAGCTTGGTAGGATCAGAATATTTATAATCTATTCATTTAACACATATTTAATATCTACTTCAAGATTAGACTGAACTTTGGATTCTGGGTTAAAGAGTTTAGATGGGATACGACAAGTAAGTAATAAATACTTCAGGTATACATACACCATGAGAAAAGCTGTGAACTATATTCAAACATGATTATTCTAGCAACTAGGCAGGAGCTGACCTAGAATTAAGTAGAACTTAAAGGTGATACACAAAAGCAGAGATGGTCTATTGAATAAGTGGAATAAAATGTGACACATGCACATAAGCCTTTCTTCTGCTGTCTTCTCTGCAGGCATGCTACAATGTTTGAAATTCTTGCCACAGAAATCACTCTTTCAGTTTAAGTTACTATCTTTAGAAAGCCTGTTACTAAGTGATGGTAACACTCAATACAATGGTACCCCTGTCTCCCAAATCTGATCTTTCCTTCCTCCTAGGTATCTCATCAATGAATGTTTGTGGGAGGCAATATTTTCACACCTTCTCAGAGCTGGGTGTGGTCATCACCAGTAGAATGTAAGAGGAGAGATGTGGCCAAATTCCACATCACTTCCTCAAGAATAAATTGCTTGCCTCAGATTCCACCCCTCCATTTCTTCCTGAAGTCTAGAAAGGAGACATGGGAGAGATTCATCTTTAACCTATGTTTTAAGCTAGAGAGAGAAGGACATGGGTCTCTGAGCAGACCCATGAGCTGAGTAATCCTGTCAGCATCAACTAGGAAGCCAGTTTCATGAGAGGGAAATAAATTTCCATTTTCTTTTAAATACTTTATTTTTTTGTTTCTTCATTATAGCAGCTTACCTTACTCTAATTAATATTATGTTCATGAGATTGGGATTGATTTGAAAATTAGCTATCTCTCACCTAGAGAAGAGGAAGACCCTGAAGACGTGGGTCACAAGAAACAAATAAGAAAAGGGCTGAATCAGGGCACTCCTTAGGGGAAGGCAAACTCAGATGGGCTGCTAAAATGGGAGACTCTGTGTTGGAGAGAGGATAAGGTCTTTTGATAATCTAGATAGGTCCAAGAGGAAGAACCAATGAAGACACTTTGCATACTTGAGAATTTTGGTGGGACCAATCAGTTACAATAATTCACAGAAAGGTAGCAAGAGAGGTAGAAATGGAGAAGAGGCAGATTGGCACAGAAAGTGCAGATAGAAACTGATGAGGAATTGCATTATGGTATTTAAAAATAAAAAAGAAAAGAGGAGCCCAAAACATTTCAAGGCATGAGTGGTCAGGTGACCATGAATCATGAAACTATGACCATAGCAGTATGTTAGAACAAACTGTTGGCTAGTAGAACAGGATACTGAATTTGATCTTTTCCATGTTAATTTTAAATTGTGGTAGTACATTTTACCGAACAATTTAAGATACATAATGAAGAGGTATTTGAAACAAACAAACAAACAAAAAAAGGTCGAGAAATCAGGTTGGGAGATGTAGAATATTACCACCCACATGAAAAGGATAATGGTTAAAAATCCTCTTTCAAGACATAGCCACACTTTTTGTTCTATTACATTTAAAGTTTGAACATCACATATCTCAATATGCATCTAGATAACGTAGCCTCTGCTAGTTGGTAAAAGCTTTCTAATCATTATATTCAGCATTGTCTCTTTTCACCTCTAAACTTGTACAGAGGTCTCTTCCTGAACGTCTTCATCTTTATTTTGATGTTTAGCTTTCTGGAGAAGCCTGGGACCCAGCAAACCAATGAGTAGACTTCCAATTGGGGCTGTGATGAGGATGGACAAAAATGCCACTGTCAACACATCCATTCCGTATTCTTCTAACTGTTTCTCTCCATGTGATCTTGCCGTGTCCAAAGCCACAGATCCTATGGCAGCCTATAAAAGTTTAAGGTAACATTGGAAACATAAGATAATTGCATAGAGAAAAGGTGAATTATTTTGTCATTTGCAAAAACAAATTGCTTGTTTTTTTTGCTCAGCTAAGAAAGTTCTTTTAGGGGGTGCCTGGGTGGCTCAGTCGTTAAGCGTCGCCTTCGGCTCAGGTTGTGATCCCAGGGTCCTGGGATTGAGCCCTGCATAGAGCTCCCTGCTCAGCGGGAGGTCTGCTTCTCCCTCTCCCACTCCCCCTGCTTGTGTTCTCTCTCTCGCTGTGTGTCTCTCTGTCAAATAAATAAATAAAAAGTCTTTAAAAAAAAAAAAAAGAAAGTTCTATTAGCCTTCTTTCAAAGTATACTGCAGTGAATTTTGGTTGTCTGAAAACTCTCCCTGCCCTTGCTTGGGGAAGGAATAATGATTCATATGTACCTATTTGTATAAGGTAAGGTTCCAAAAATATCAGGCAAATATATTTCAAAACACAAGGCAAATTCAACACATGATATTAATTAACTAGAACATGATCCCATATACTAAATTTCCCCTGAGTAAAGATGAAAGTTACTGGTCATCTCATTCTTTTATCTTTAGTAATTTCAAAGTAAGAAAAAACAAGATGAAAAAAATGCAGTGATACTGGAAGGTGGTGAAGTTTTAAATGAAAAAAGCAACCACATAAGAATATGCACTGCTTTTAGAGCCTGTTAAACATCATGAAACTTGAAAATGCGAAGCACCTTCAAAACTTGAAGTTAATCTTATTAGGTATTTGGTTAAGTTTTGCCTCAGGAGTTGGTAAAATATTTTATTTAAGATTTATCTTTTGGGAAGTTTCATGAAAATTTTTATTTTCTTTTACAGGCAAAATGCAACATTAATGTACATGGGAAAATAACATATTAAACAATCTGGTTATTCCCTTAGTCCACAGAACACAACAACGTTAGCCTCTAGGACAGTGAGACAGAAGAGAAAATATCCGTGTGCATGAGACACATGGCAGAGACTACTAATTGCCCACAAATATCTGAATATACTCTTCTATTATAGAACTCTTGAGTTTCAGCTGGTCACATTACTATACAAGTGGAGAGCTTTTCAGCCGTCTTTACAACTAGATGAACATGCATTATTCAACATATTCTTGATAATGTTTCCTTATTTTAAATTGGCTTTGGTAGCAGCAGAGTGCCATCTTTCAAATTTTAATGTTTAGGAACACATCCTTCATACCAAAGTCACTAGAGTGATTATTTTGGTACTTACCCACTAAAGTTACCAGAGGTAGTGAGGAAGCTGTAGATACTCCTAGGGAGAAACTATTCCACTTATTGTACTACTAACTTCACGGTATTTTTATCCATTATGTCTCAGACTTCTTTGAAAGTCTGATGGAAATAAAACTTCTCTGGAATAATGCTGAAGCCCACAGCCACACAAAATCTGGCATATAGTTATAGAGTATACATATCCCCCAAAGCTTCTTAAATTTAGAACATCTGAGTTTTGAGACATCTGGGTGGCTTAGTTGGTTAAGAATCCGCCTCTTGATTTTGGCTTAGGTCATGATCTCAGGGTTGTGAGATTGAGCCCTGAGTAAGATTCTCTCCCTCTGCCCCAGCCCCGCTTGCATGCACTCTCTCTCTCTCAAATAAATAAATCTAAAAAGAAAAAAAAAAAAAGAACATCTGATTTTTACTTCATGAAACAGAAATTTCCATGTTTAAACAATTGCAAAATAATCAGAGAGGAGACAGTCTAATCTTGTTTGCTATAATTATTTTGAAAATAAAGAACATAATCAGAAATACATTACATTTGCAACAAATAATAATCTATACCATTCTAATTTAATTAGTAATTAAATTCTACCAAATACATGGTTAATACTTTCAAGCACCTATCTGTTCATGCCTTATTCATTACAGTGCACAATTTTTGTGTCATGTGATTGATACATTTGACAGAAGGTTCAGCTAGTTTGAAAAATTTACTACCAACCAATAATCTAGGAAATCAATAAAGCATTTTCTCAGCTGTTTTTCAATAAATTTTTCTCTTTTATATATAAAGACGGTGGTCAAGCATAACTGATCATCAATCATGTTGACACTGAAGTATTTCCAAATACTAAGATGGGTCATGCTATTTCTGTTTCACTCTCTTCTTGGAAGATATTGAAATGAAAAGGGTTAACAACTATCTTTCTGGGTGATTGAGGGCTCTGACTGATAAAAATTCAAACTCTTTCTTCCTGTGACTCTGCTTTCTAGTTAGCGTAGGGATTTATTGGATTTTTAGTTGATTTAAATAAAGCTGGTAATCTAGATAAATTTAAATGAGGCATCATATTTAGGAAATCAATATACCCAAAATAAAACTTTTTTTTAAAGAGTTTATTTATTTATTTGACAGAGAGAGAGAGCACAAGTAGGGGGAGTGGCAAGCAGAGGGAGACGGAGAAGCAGGCTCCCCACAGAGCAGGGGGAGCCCGATGTGGGACTCAATCCCAGGTCCCCAGGATCATGACATGAGCCAAAGGCAGGCGCTTAACCAACTGAGCCACCCAGGTGCCCCAAAATAAAACTTTTAAAGAATAGATTAGTATAAGCCCTTTTCATCAAACTTCGATTACATTTTTTCACCAAATTTGAATAAGTTGTCTTATTTAAAATTTCAAGGTATCATATAGAAATAGGAGTTAAAATGCTAAGCATCCTATCCATCATTACCTGGACTGTGGCCTTCGGAAGCCATGCAAAAGAAATAAATATCTTTTCCTTGATGTTAAAACCAGCAAAACACACCAACAGAAATGTAGTCAAAATTCGTATCAATACTGCAATGCCCAGGATGGCAACACAAAGGCCTGTAAGAAATACTTAATTTTTAGACATAATAAAGTACTGGGGGAGAAACTGAAATCTCATGGTTACTGATTCAAAATACTACCAACTGCAATTATCTAAATATATTAAAAAATTAAGAAGACAAAAATGGTTAGGAATAATTTATCAAAACATCAATAACAAGGATCAAACCATTTGTTTAAAAGAAGGTATTTTTCCTAGATTAAACCAGAAATTAAACATATTTGATATATATTATAAAGGAGATATGAATGTTACTCCTCTTATGCTTTATAGCAAGAACCAAACTTTCTTCCATGTGTTTATTCAACACGAATTTATTAAATGATAACTATGCATTACAGGATTTGGACTAGGTATTGGGTATACAAAAATGTATAATGTACAGACTTTGTTTGCCTCTATGAACCTCAAAGTCAGAGGAAAACAGAAACTTTAACAATGAATTAATATACTATAAAGTAAGTACAGTATAAACATACTGGTAAGAGATCACAGAAGAGGAAAAAGTTAATATTTTACAGAATTGTTTACAGAGTATAAACCAGAGGTGACATTAAAAATATTTATTAGCCTGTATAGAAGCAATCAGCCAATTAGAACAAAGCTGGCTGGGCAATGACCAATCAGAATAGACACTAACAGTCTACACCTGTTTCACCATATCGGTGTATACACTGTCTGCCCATTAGCCCAGGTTGACATGTACAGCTACTTCATTCTGTCCTTTAGAATCCTTTGCTGATAAAGATAAGTTCATCTTGATTTGCACAGTAAGGACTGTGACTAGGCTACTGCACCTGAGAAAGGCACAGCTAGAGTGACTGCTATGTAGTAGGATGATTTTCTAAAAAGTAACATTTGTTAAGTGTTTACTGTGCACCAGGTTCTGTATTAAGCTTTAAGTGCATTCATTACCTAATCCTTACAATCTGTGGGGTAATTTTTCTTATTTTACAGTTGAAGAAAATGAAGTTTAGAAAGGATAAATGACTTTCTCAAGTTCAAAAGGCTAGTAAAACATCAGACATTGCTGGAGGATTTATTGTGAATCTGCAATATGGCTTCTTTACATGATTGTGGCTTTTTATTGAAGGATATTGCTCCCAGGTTGGTAGCTTTTCAAAGTACTTGTTGCCTGAAGTACAAGAAACAAAAGAGATGATACCATTCTCAGGAGGGAGCATTGAAGGTTTGGGGAGAAGATGATTTAGAAGTTTTGAACATACCGAGTTTGAAGTTTTGTGAGACTTACAAGTGGTGATGTCCAATCAGCAATCAGATACACTGATTTAGAGATAAAAATTTTGGAATTATGTAGTTTATAATCAAAGCTACTGAATGTAGTTAAGCTCAGAAAAATGACATAGAGTGAGACGTGTAGAAGGCTTTGGAAGAACTTTGATGAAGAGCAGCATTTAAGCCACACGTAGTGTGAGGACTCAGAATGCACTGAAAAATATGAAGTTTCAGAATTCAATGTAAAATGTGTTTTAAAGAGGTCAATAGCATCAAAAGCTGCTGAGTGATCAAGGAAAAAAAAGAATGATAAGTATTCAGTTCATTTAGCAATATAACCTTGGTGAAAGCAGGGTCGGTTGTGTGATGGGCAGAAGCTGGGCTGAAATGTATTGAAGAAGAGAGTGAGAGTTGAAAGGAAAATTACCTCTATAATTACCTCTTTGGAAAAGTTCGAAAAGAGGAGTAAAAACGAAGTGTGGTAGGTTGGGGGTGGGGGGGAAGTTAAGTGGAAAAAGGAGATTTTATATATATAAATTGTGGTAAAATATGCATAACACAATTTACAGTCTTTACCATTTTTAAGTGTGCAGCTCAGTAGAATTAAGTTGAACATTCACATTTTTGTGCAACCAGTCTGCAGGATTTTTTCATCTTGCAAAACTGACCCATTAAACAACATTTCATTTCCCCCTCCCCCGAGGTCCTGGCAACCACCCTTCTACTTTCTGTTTCTATGATTTGACTACCTGGATACCTCATATATGTGGAATCACACAGTATTTGCCTGTTGGTGACGAATGTCCTCCAGGTTCATCCACGTTGTAGCGTGTATTGGGATGGAAAGATTAATTTTAAGACAGGAGAAATTAGAATTTGTTTAAATTCCGAAGAGGAGAAAACTGTGACATGGAAATCTGAAGATACATGAGCATAGGGGAAGAATCTATGTGTGAGGTCCAGAAGGAGGTAGCAGGAGATGGGATTCCCAGTAAAGATGGAGAAATATAGAATGAGTGGAATGGAGGAAATAACGAGTAAAGGTGCACAAATAAATTTTTAAGTGTAGTGTTATGAAATCAAAAGTTTTAATATGATGGCTTTTGAATGTATGAATAAATGAATGAATGAACAAACAAACATTTGTGTTCCATGGGTGTATATTATAGAACTGATGAGTTACCTGTACAATTCTAGGCCTTGATCAGAACAAGTCTAATTGAACATTTTTGCCCTTGGAAAAAAAAAATTTTAAGACCTGCATCTTCTAGATAGTAGTTAGCAGTGTTACTTTTCTTTACAAGGAATAATATTAAAGGTATAAAATTTATGCCTGAGATTGACAAGTATTATTTTCTGGCCAACTACTCTAAGAGACTTGGATTATTATTAACTTTTTTATATAATTGTGACAATAACTATACCTACTAAAGGTATTTCACTGAATATAAAAGTTGATTTTAGCAAATGTACTATTTGAAATTCTTACCTACAGTTTCTGGTCTGAGAGATGCAATAGATACTTCTGCTCCAATCAGTCCAAAGAGAAGGGGCTGGAAGATATACCAGGCACCTGCAATGATTTTTTCAACCTCTGCCTGAAAGAAACACACACACACACCCCTCACAGATTTTTATTATATGAAGTTACAAGTTCTAAGAATTTTACTAATTTGAGTCAATTTGACCTGAGATAGGCTTTATTTTTCTGACATCTATAAATAAGAGGTTAGCTAAAATAGAACAAAAAATTATATAAAGATATTTCTAACACAGTCATTATATGAGGTGCTTTAGAGTTGGTTTGCAAATAGATGTTAATTATAAAGAGTCTAATAAAATAATCTTAGGAGGACTTCTACTTCTGAATATATGATGTGTGTGCATATATGTAATACTTAGGTATTATTTTATAGTTTAAAATTTTGTGTTAATTTTTGTTCAGCAATATCATTCAGAGATCTTATCAGAGTAAACATATCTATATATACATCTAATTATTGCTATATAGTAATCTGTGGTATGGAATTATCATTTTATTCAATCATTTCTTTATTGATGGCCCTTTAAGTTGTTTCCAATTTTATCTTTAACAGTTTGTTTCTCTCAAATCATGCACAAAAATATAATTCAGGTATAGTAAAGGGCTGTGCTTATTAATTTATTACCGCTTGGCTCCAAATCCACATTTCATTGTTGCTCTGCAGAAAATGAAGCTGAGCCCTTTAAATATTTCTCTTTTGCTACCTGGCATAATTTAAAATTTTGTCAGTAGAGGGTGCTGAAGAAATATTACAAGGAAGATGCTCTTCCTGCTTTCCAGGGCTCCCCCAGCAGGATCCTATAGGACACTTGGGTTTCTTTAGTACACAGGTGGCTTCTACAGTCCTGGGCTCCTATAGTGCATGGCAGCCCGCACCCCTAGCTTACTGCAAGGGAGTTTCATAGCCAACTCCCTTGGGCAAAATACCTCCCCATGTACCCTAGAGGGTGTATTTCCTGCAAATTTGGAGTTTAGATTTCCAGCAAATTGTCCAAACAGGACACCAAGGGTGTCTTCTCTACCATTCAGTGAACAAAGGCTCTCTACCAAGATCTGGATTCTGAGGCCTGGGGGTGGGAGTAGATGTAGTGGAGTGGGGTAGTATAAGGAGATGGCTCAGTCTCAGCCCTAGTTGTTTATAGCTGCTATTCCTATATTCGCCAGGGATCTTTTACCTCTCAGAAGCCAATCCCTTGTTATCTGACCCCAGGTATGGTTAATAACAAACTTTCCCTATTCCAGTTACTCTGTAATTTCCCTTTCCTGATAAGATCCTAACTGATGTAAGTACTAACTTTATAACACATTTTGCAAAAACCCTAAAAAAAGATGGACACAATTGACTATAGCAAAACTAGAATGTTGTGTGGCAAAAGAAACCATAAGCAAACAAAGAACAACAAGATGACAAACCAGGAGAAAACATCTGCACTGTGTGTGACAGAATAAGGAGTAATATCCAAGCAATAAGAAAAAGACATAGAACCTAATAGAAAAATGGGAAATGCATACATACAAGTAATTCACAGTGGAAGAAACACAAATGGCCAAAAAATATAAGATGCTAAAATTCAGTAATCAGTGAAACACAAATTAAAATGATATGCCACATTTGGGGGGGGGCATCATATTAGAAAAAATACTAAAACATTTTTATAATGTCAAGTATCTGGGATGTAAGAAACTCTCACTAATTGGTAGAACAAATTGATATGCTTTTTTTGGAGGGCAATTTAGCAGTACCCATTACAGTCTCTAAAAATTTATACTGAACAGATTTTTCCAATCAACTAATAAGAATTTATATTTTTGGACAGCACTTTTGCCCTTATAGTTACACATCTTTGAGGATCTGGTTTTCCATATCTATTTTCAGCAGTTTAACAAACGAGGATTATATTGTATCTCTATTTTCTTTATTTTTTTATTAATTCTGGTATGTTTATTAGGGTGAGGATTCTATTTCTTCTTGGCTTAAAAATGTTGAAAGGCAGAATGCAAATGTGAGGGAGTTGGTTGATTTACTTACATAGTTCTATTCTTAAATCATGCAAAGAGTTATGTTTTCATATCATAAGGAATCAGATAATGACTTAGGTTCAAATTCTGCCACCTGTTAAATGGAAACCACTTATCTCTCAGAACCTTATTTTTTCTCATCTGTAAAATGAGAGGTTTATATTAGATAACATCCAAGATCCTTTATCATTTAGTGACAATGACTAGTTCTCCCAAAACTGGGGTCCAGTTACCACCTTTTCACATATCTTTACTTTTTAATTTAGTTTTTAGAGTATACCATAACTAAAGCTCAGACTTTAGTTGGTATCCATGTTAGTGAAGAACACAAATTGACTCTATTAATCTTAGGTTACTTAGCCTTTTGTTGCCATGACTAATTGTTTAAGGGAAGGCCTCAAAAATACTCAGAACTCCAATAAAAGCAGATGGCCTAAAAAGTTTTCCCTATCAAATTTTTTTATTTCTAAACTGTAGACAAAGGCCACCATTTGTTTTATGATTGTAACACTTCAGACTATTTGAATATCAGACATGGGTGTATACACTGTAAAATTTAAAAATGGGAGATGAGTCAAAATGTATCTTCTTAATGCTTTTTCATAACTTCAAAACTAAAATGAATGTGCTTATAAAGAAAGTGGAGTCATCGAATAGGCTAAGTGTAAAAGAGACCAGGAGAATGAAGACTGTTGTCCACACTGCACTGAATGTTAAGGCTACTTTACACATCACTTTGCTCTAGTAGTAAGAATCTTCAAAAACATAGATCACTTTCAAGGATACACAAAAGAAGAAAATTAGCAGAAACAGAGGTTTTTATCATGACTTCAATATCTATTTAAGCTGATACTTCCCTTCTCAGAGAGAAGAGAATTTCAAGATTCAGGAGATTCAAAATATGTCAGAAAAACCATCCCACAACTACAAAGGTCATCAGAAGCAGCACTATATTTGAAAATAGGTGGGAAAAAAAGGAAAACATGACAGAGGCTTTCAAAAAGTGAGTGTATTTGAGGTAAATATGAAAAAAAAATGTTCCCAGTTCTTTTACTGGGTTGTGGGATTACACTGATCTATATAATCAGCTGGGCTGCAGGCAAACCTGGCAAAATTATGACAACTGCAGACGAACAGACACTGTGTTTTGGCTTATAACAATCTTTTCTCTATAACCCATATTACAGTTTTCAGAAGAGTAATGTGACTGGAGCTCATCAAAGTTTCCCTTTCCCTGCTTTGTCTTTCTGGGCCCATAGCTGATGCGCTCTTGCTATAGGCATTAGCCTCCCCCTTGATTTCCCTGTGGCTAAAACTACTCTTTTATGCTCTATCCCAAATGCTATGGCTCCTTTTCATTATTTGTTTTTTATCCTATCATTTATGAATTTAGAGAATTAATTTTAAATTGCAAAGCATAACAATATGCTTTTTAATACACTTGGTATGTGTTATTCAAATAGATGTCAAAATACAAAAATGTGCCCTGCACAATAATGCTACAGTTGTGTTACAGAGTAGTACACTCTGGAGTCAGGTAAACCTGAGCTTAAATCCCAGTGCAACTGTCTAATTTTGTGACCTTGGACATGTTATTTATGCCTTTCTGATTTATAGGCTCTATAAAATGGGAATGGTAATACTTTTTAAAGTTTTTTTGTGTGTATTTGAAAATAAATGAGAATATCCACTTAGTGCCTAGCACAGAACCATACAGACTGGCAATAAAAATGTATTAAAAAATGGGCAGAAGACATGAACAGACATTTTTCCAAAGAAGACATACAGATGGCTAAGAGACACATGAAAAGATGCTCAATGTCACTGATCATCAGGAAAATACAAATCAAAACTACAATGAGATTATCACCTCACACCTGTCAGAATGGCTAAAATTAACAAAACATGAAATAACAGGTGTTGGCAAGGATGAAGGGAAAGGGGAACACTCTTACACTGTTGGTGGGAATGCAAGCTGGTGCAGCCACTCTGGAGAACAGTATGGAGGTTCCTCAAAAAGTTAAAAATAGAACTACTCTATGACCCAGCAGTTGCACTACTGGGTGTTTACTCAAAGGATACAAAAATACTGAATGGAAGGGATACATGCACCCCGATGTTTATAGCAGCATTATCAACAATAGCCAAATTATGGAAAGATCCCAAATGTCCACTGACTGATGAAGGGATAAAGAAGAGGTAATAATACTCAGCCATGAAAAATAATGAAATCTTGCCATTTGCAATGACATGGATGGAGCTACAGAGTACTATGCTAAGCTAGGTAACCAGTCAGAGACAAATACCATATGATTTCACTCTTATGTGGACTTTCTCCTTTCCTTCGAAGCCCAATCCATCTCCGCTTACTTTCCCATGGCCTCAATACCCTTCTCTAGACAATGCTCCAGGCAGTCCCTACCATCCGTCTCTCCTCAGAAGCAAGATGATTCAGTTATACTTGTCCTAACTTTGTAATCACATCCTTACAGAGTGAGAGCCTCCTGTCTGAGTGTTCTTTGCTCACTAGGAAATTCTGTCTCTAGTATACCTCTATAGAGATTCACTCAAATGAATTTGATTATGTACCTAACTTCAAGCTTTATAACCCTCACTTATTTTTCTATATGGCATTATTTTAAGCTTAATCATTTTGAACAGTTGTTTCCAGGTTGTCCAAAATGATATATCTGCATTTAGTTAGGTCAGCTACATCTAATTTCTTCATTAAATAGAAGAATAGTATTTGTTCCTGTCAAGTTCAAATCTATAAAAATGTACTTGAAATTAAAATTCGTGAATGGCCACCAGCTAATCTCCATAATATATATGGAGAAATAATCTTAATAATCTTGAAAATCAGTAAGAAAAACCAAAACAATCTTTTAAAAATGGACACAAACTGGTTAGTAAGCTTAGGAAAAGATGATTAGCTTCTCTCATAAAGAAATACAAATCAGACCAATAATGAGATACATTTTTCACCTATCAGGTTAGCAAAATATCTGATTTTTAATGATTTCTTCATTAAAACAGATCCCTGGGAGATAGGAGGAAGATGGCGGAGGAGTAGGAGACCTTAGTTTTGTCTGGTCCCAGGAGTTCAGATAGATAGTTATCAAATCATCCTGAACACCTGTGAACTCAACTGGAGATCTGAGTAAAAAATTGCTACAATTCTACAAATGGAAAAGCGACCACTTTCTGCAAGGTAGGAGGTGCGGAGAAGTGAATCTGAGGCGATATATGGGAAGATAAACCCCAGGGGGAGGGAGCCTCCATAAGCTGTCTATAGGAAAGTGATATAGCATGGAGCACAAAATCAGAACTTTTAGAAGTCTGCTGCAGTGAGGGACGTCCCCACCTGAAAGGTGCTCAGGTGGTGAAGCGGGGTGGAATCCTAAGTGGGATGGTGTGGTCTCAGGATCCCTGGAATCACAGAAAGAACCATGACCAAGTGGGATTTATTCCTGGGCTGCAAGGGTAGTACAACATCTGCTAATCAATCAGTGTAATACACTACATTAATAAAAGGACAAGAACCATATGATCCAATCAATAGATCCAGAAAAAGCATTTGACAAAGTACAGCATCCTTTCTTGATTAACACTCTTCACAGTGTAGGGATCCCTACTTCAGTATCATAAAAGCCATCTATGAAAAGTCCACAGCAAACATCATTCTCAATGCGGAAAAACTGAGAACTTTTCCCCTAACGTCAGGAACACCATAAGGATGTTCACTATCACCACTGTTGTTCAACATAGTACTAGAAGTCCTGGCCTCAGCAATCAGACAACAAAAAGAAGTAAAAGGCATCTGAATTGGTGAAGAAGAAGTCAAACTCTCACTCTTTGCAGAAGACATGATATGCTATGTGGAAAACTCAAAAGACTCCACCCCCAAATTGCCAGAACTCATACAGGAATTCAGCAAAGTGGCCAGGTATAAAAATCAACACACAGAAATATGTTGCATTTCTATACACCAATAATGAAACAGAAGAAAGAGAAATTAAGGAGTTAACCCCATTTATAATTGCACCAAAAACCATAAGATACCTAGGAATAAACCTAACCAAAAAGGCAAAGGATCTGTACTCTGAACACTACAGGACACTCATGAGAGAAACTGAGGAAGACACAAAGAAATGGAAAAACATTCCATGCTCATGGATTGGAAGAACAAATATTGTGAAAATGTCTATGCTACCTAGAGCAGTCTATACATTCAAAGCAATCCCTATAAAAATACCATCAGCTTTTTTTCACAGAGCTGGAACAAATAATCCTAAAATCTGTATGGGACCAGAAAAGACCCCGAATAGCCAAAGGAATTTTGAAAAAGAAAACCACATCTTGGGGCATCACAATTCTGGGCTTCAAGCTCCATTACAAAGCTGTAATCATCAAGACAGTATGGTACTGGCACAAAAACAGGCACATAGATCAATGGAACAGAATAGAGAGCCCAGAAATGGACCCTCAACTCTATGGTCAACTAATCTTTGACAAAGCAGGGAAGAATGTCCAATGGAAAAAAGACAGTCTCTTCAACAAATGGAGTTGGGAAAATTGGACAGCCACATGCAGAAGAATGCAACTGGACCATTTTCTTACACCATATACAAAAATAGATTCAAAATGGATGAAAGACCTCAATGTGAGACAGGAATCCATCAATATCCTAGAGGAGAATAGGCAGCAACCTCTGTGACCTCAGCCATTGCAATTTCTTGCTAGACACATCTCCAAAGGCAAGGGAAGCAAGGGCAAAAATGAACTATTGGGACTTCATCAAGATAAAAAGCTTCTGCACAGTGAAGGAAACAGTCAACAAAACCAAAAGACAACTGACAGAATGGGAGAAGGTATGACATATCAGATAAAGGGCTAGTATCCAAAATCTATAAAGAACTAATCAAACTCAACATCCAAAGAACAACTAATCCCATCAAGAAATGGGCAGAAGACATGAACAGACACCTCTCCAAAGAAGACATCCAAATGGCCAACGGACACATGAAAAAGTGCTCAACATCACTTGGCATCAGGGAAATACTAATCAAAACCACAATGACATACCACCTCACACCAGTCAGAATGGCTAAAATTAACAAGTCAGGAAATGACAGATGTTGGAGAGGATGCAGAGAAAGGGGAACCCTCTTATGCTGTTGGTGGGAATGCAAGCTGGGCAGCCACTCTGGAAAACAGTATGGAGGTTCCTCAAAAAGTTGAAAACAGAGCTGCCCTATGACCCAGCAATTGCACTACTGGGTATTTACCCCAAAGATACAAATGTAGTGATCCGAAGGGGCACAGGCACCCCAATGTTTATAGCAGCAATGTCCACAATAGCCAAACTATGGAAAGAGCTCAGATGTTCATTGACAGATGAATGGATAATTCTTTATCCATTCATCTGTGGTATATATATTTATATATTTCACATCCATCAAAAAGAATGAAATCTTGTCATCTGCAATGACATGAATGGAACTAGAGGGTATTATGCTAAGTGAATTAAGGCAATTAGAGAAAGACAATTCTCATATGACCCCACTCATATGTGGAATTTAAGAAAGAAATCAGAGGATCATAGGGGAAGAGAGGGAAAAATAAAACAAGACTAATCAGAGAGGGAGACAAACCATAAGAGACTCTTAACTATAGGGAACAAACTGAGGGTTGCAGGAGGAGAGGTGGTGGGGGGGATGGGGTAACTGGGTGATGGGCATTAAGGAGGGCACCTGATGTAATGAGCACTGGGTATTATATAACACTGATGAATCACTGGACTCTACCTCTGAAACTAATAATACACTATATGTTAATTAACTGAAATGAAAAAATAAATTTAAAAAAAGAAAAAGGGATCATCTTCATATACTGTTGGTGAGAATATAAATTGGTGCAGTCTTTTAAGAGGGTAAACTGATATTATTAAAAGTATCAATGTGCATATTCTTTCATAGAAGAATTGTATTTCTAGAAATTTATCCTCTAGGGGCACCTATGTGGCTCTGTCGTTAAGCGTCTGCCTTCGGCTTGGGTCATGATCCCAGAGTCCTGGGATCGAGCCCGCATCAGGCTCCCTGCTCTGCCAGAAGCCTGCTTCTCCCTCACCCACCTGCCCTGCTTGTGTTCCCTCTCTCGCTGTGTCTCTCTCTGTCAAATAAATAAAATCTTTAAAAAAATAAAATAAAATAAATTTATCCTCTAGATAAACTCAAAGTATATATTTTGTTGATTTTTTCCCCCATTTTCTCATTTCTGAAATTAGGATGTCATATCATAGTTTAATTGGCAGCACTGTTTTTCATTCTTGGTGGCATGTAAAATAACGGTGCTTCTTAGACTTGATAATGTCTTAGAGTTTATGAAATATGGCATATGTAGGATATTTTATTGAAACGGTTTTTGTCTTAGCAGAAAAGCAGAAACAATCCAAATATCTGTTAGTAGGAGACTGGTTAAATACAGTACAGCATACACTGCAGTACTCTGTAGCTCTTACAAAGAATAAGGAAGGCAGTGTGGACATATGATCATGATATATTTTAAATAAAGACATCAAATTATCGATTGGTATATAAGGGGGGAAGAGGATGAATGTGTATACACTTGGGTGTATATTTACATATGCATAGGAAATAGCTTGTATGATTTAATAATTTATTAATTTGATATTAAGAAAGTCTGGAGAAAGACATGTATCCTATGATCTCACTGATATGAGGAATTCTTAATCTCAGGAAACAAACTGAGGGTTGTTGGAGTGGTGGGGGGTGGGAGGGATGGGGTGGCTGGGTGATAGACATTGGGGAGATTATGTGCTATGGTGAGCGCTGTGAATTGTGTAAGACTGATGAATCACAGACCTGTACCCCTGAAACAAATAATACATTATATGTTAAAAAGAAGAAGAAGAAGAAGATAGCAGAAAGGGAAAAATGAAGGGGGGGAAATCGGAGGGGGAGACAAACCATGAGAAACTATGGACTCCGAGAAACAAACTGAGGGTTCTAGAGGGGAGGGGGGTAGGGGGATGGGTTTGCCTGTGATGGCTATTAAAAAGGGCACATATTGAATGGAGCACTGGGTGTTATACACAAACAATGAATCATGGAACACTACATCAAAAACTAATGATGCCATGTATGGTGATTAACATAACATAATAATAAAAAAAAAGTCTCTGGAAAGAAAAAATTTATCTGATCAGAAAGAACTTAAATGAGTAGAAGAACTTAGAATGAAATTCACCTTTTCGCCGGCCCATCTCAAGCCTGCAAGGAAGGACATGACCAACGTGCACAGTCCTCCTGACCCAGGGAAACCAAAATACACACTGCTGAACACAGCTAGCATGGACAGCCCCAAAACAAGGAATGCTCTCTTCCACACAAGTTTGTCCTTGAGGAGAGAAAAAAGGTTGATTAGATCTATTATTTCATATAACTGATTTTTAATGATTGATTTTTCCATATTCAGGACTTAGTGGGGAATAAAAATATCTGTCTGTGCCCATAAATGTACACTGTAACATTTACTATCTTTTCCTTCATAAAGGTAGGGTCAGCACATGTACAGATGCCAGATCCTCTTTCAGAAACTCTAGTTACCTTCCTCTGCAGTTATCAAAGCCGAATTTCACAGGGCTGAATGCAGCAGCAGAAAAAAGTGCATGGGTTTTGGAGCCAGGCAGAGCAGAGTTAGAATCCAGCTCTTTTTCACCCCTGGCGTATGGAGTGCTCCCATTACCTAGCTTCTTCAGGCTTTGTTTTCTCCTCCACGAAAGCAGTTATGTTATAGGGTTTTGGGGAAGGTTACAGATGTGATATCTCTTACTTTTAGTCTCTTGACTTTTTAATGGTTTTTCTTTCTAAACCCTTGAAAACGGAGAAGCTTTAAGAAGCTATAGACCGAGAGTAGTTTTTTTGTTGTTGTTGGTTTTTAAAGTCTAAGAAATGTGCGCCTCTCTCCCTTTACTTCTCTCTCATCAGCCTTTTAAACTTCTTAATCACTCTTTTTAAATTTTAAAATGATTTTTAACTTTTTTGAGTGTAGCTGACACACAATGTTCTGTTAGTTTCGGGTGTACAACCCAGGAATTCACTTCCCTCTATGTTATGCTCTGCTCACAGCAAGCGTAGCTCCCAGCTGTCACCGCACAACACCATCACGGTATCACAGACTATATTCCCTGTGCCATGCCTTTTATTCCCGTGACTTACTCCATAACTGAAGACAGGGACCTCCCGCTCCCCTTCACCCATTTTGCCCGTCCCCCTTCCCCTCCCCTCTGGCAACATCAGTTTGTTCTCTGTATTTATAGTTTTGATTCTGCTTTTTGTTTATTGATTCATTTGTTTTGTTTTTAGATTCCACATGTGAGTGAAATCATACGCTATATGTCTTTCTCAGTCTGACTTATTTCTCTTAGCATAGTACCCTCTAGATCTATCTGTGTTGTTGCAAATAGCAAGATCTCCTCCTTTTCTATGGCTGCTCAATATTCCATTGTATATATATATATCACACCTTCCTTATCCATTCGTCTATCAATTGACACTTACGTTGATTCCATATCTTGGCTATTGTAAATAATGCTGCAGTAAACATAGGGGGGCACAGTCTTTTCAAATTAGTGTTTTCTTTGAGTAAATACCCAGTGGTGGAATTACTGGGTCATATGGTATTTCTACTTTTAATATTTTTTTTTCTAAAGATTTTATTTATTTATTTGAGAGAGAGAGAATGAGAGAGAGAGAGCACATGAGAGGGGGTAGGGTCAGAGGGAGAAGCAGACTCCCTGCCGAGCAGGGAGCCCGATGCGGGACTCGATCCAGGGACTCCAGGATCATGACCTGAGCCGAAGGCAGTCGCTTAACCAACTGAGCCACCCAGGCGCCCTCTACTTTTAATATTTTGAGAAACCTCCATACTGTTTTCCATAGTGGCTGTACCAATGTACATTCCCACCAACAGTGCACAAGGATTCCTTTTTCTCTACATCCTCGCCAACACATGTTAGTTCTTGTCTTTTTGACTTTAGCCATTCTGACAGGTGTAAGGTAAGGTTTCATTGTGGTTTTTATTTGCATTTCCCTGAAGATAAGTAATGATGAGCATCTTTTCATGTGTCTGTTGTCCATCTGTATGTCTTCTTTGGAAAAATATTTATTCAGGTACTCTGCCCATTTTTAGATTTTTTCTTGTGTGTGTTGACATGTATAAATTCTTTATATATTTTGGATATTAAGCCCTATTGGATATACCATTTAGTTTTGTTGATGGTTTCCTTCATTGGGCAAAGTTTTTTATTTTGATGTAGTTCCAATAGCTTATTTTGTTTTTGTTTCCTTTGCCGTAGGAAACATATCTAGAAAAATGCTGTTATGGTCCAAGCTTCTTGATCACTTTAAAAGGCAAGCAGGTCTTTAGAAGTGCTTGATTTGGAGGCATGCAGGCTCTGGTGGTGGATTACCAGAGTTCGGTTCCCAGCTCTGCTGCTTTCCAGCTATGTGAACTTGTTCAACTTCTCCCTAAATCTCAATTTCCTCATCAGTAAAAAGATCATGTTAATAGTACTCATTTCATGGGTCTTATGTGGTTTACACTAGATTGCCCAGATCTATATGATTGCACTAGGTCAGTGCTTTCCAAAAGAACATTCAGTGATGATGGAAATTTCTATACATGCACCACTGAAATGTTCTCTATCTGCTATAGCCACACGTTAGTCACTGCCATATTGAATGGAGTGGCACTTTACTGTACTTACCACCTCATTTTATACAGAGTAAGCAACAAAATATGTCATTATTTTTCTTTTTATTTTGTTGTATAATTAGAAAATCCCATAATTTTCTTTTATGCAGTCATAAAATCTTTTACAATTTTAGTTGGGAGTTTTTTGGAGCATAGCAAAAATTCAAATCAGCATACCTTCTGATAATGGAAATATTAATTTTCTTAAAGTTCTACTTTAGTTAAGGTTCTAATTCCATTCAAAATGCCCTGAAGTCTTAAAATAATGCCAGTTTTTATAGAAAAAAAAAGACTTTTATATGTTATCTATCCCAAGAGACTTAGGAGGGTAAAAGAAAATAAAACAAAAAGAACTCTGTGAATATTATGAAATCATTGTGTATAATAAAGAACTTTGATCTCCTTGGTAAGAAATATTGGACAATATTATGAGATGTTAAGGGTTAGGTATTTAATAGTATTAGAGTGTAGGGCATGCTGATACTAAAAAAAGGGGCCCAAAAGCCATTTTATATCTTGATTACCTGAACATTATGAATAATAGTAAAATAAAAAATAAAAACAATAAAAAAAGGCTTACATATTTGGAATTGATATTTTATTTTTCAGTGATATTTAAAGTTTATGGAATATAAATTAGAGAAAAAAATTCTAGGGTTGTATTAAAATCTTATACAGTTGACCCTTAAACAACACAGGTTTGGGCTGCACTAGGTCCACTTACATGCAGATATTTTTTGATAAATATAGTACTGTAAATGTATTTTCTCTTCCTTTTTTTTTTTTGTTTTTTTAAATTTTATTTTATTATGTTATGTTAGTCACCATACAATACATCATTGGTTTTTGATGTGGTGATCCACGATCCATTGTTTTCGCATAACACCCAGTGCTCCATGTAGTACGTGCCCTCCTTAATACCCATCACCAGGCTAACCAATCCCCCCTCCCCCCTCCCCTCTAAAACCCTGTTTGTTTCTCAGAGTCCATAGTCTCTCATGGTTCATCTCTCCCTCCAATTCCCACCCCCCATCTTTCCCTTCCTTCTCCTAATGTCCTCCATGCTATTCCTTATGTTCCACAAATAAGTGAAACCATATGATAACTGACTTTCTCTGCTTGACTTATTTCACTTAGCATAATCTCCTCCAGTCCCATCCATGTTGATGTAAAAGTTGGGTATTCACCCTTTCTGATGGCTGAGTAATATTCCATTGTATATATGGACCACATTTTCTTTATCCATTCATCTGTTGAAGGGCATCTCGGCTCTTTCCACAGTTTGGCTATTGCGGACATTGCTGCTATGAACATTGGGGTGCATAGGGCCCTTCTTTTCACTACATCTGTGTCTTTGGGGTAAATACCCAGTAGTGCAATTGCTGGGTCACAGGGTAGCTCTATTTTTAAATTTTTGAGGAACCTCCACACTGTTTTCCAAAGTGGCTGTACCAACTTGCATTCCCACCAACAGTGTAAGCGGGTTCCCCTTTCTCCACAGCCTCTCCAACATTTGTTGTTTCTTTCCCTGTCCATTTTTGCCACTCTAACTGGTGTAAGGGGGTATCTCAATGTGGTTTTGATTTGGATTTCCCTGATGGCTAATGATGATGAACATTTTTTCATGTGTCTGTTAGCCATTTGTATGTCTTCTTCAGAGAAGTGTCTTTTCATATCTTCTGCCTACTTTTTGACTTGATTATTTGTTTTTTGGGTGTTGAGTTTGAGAAGTTCTTTATAAATCTTGGATACCAGCCCTTTATCTGTAGTGTCATTTGCAAATATCTTCTCCCATTCTGTGGGTTGCCTCTTTGTTTTGTTGACTGTTTCCTTTGCTGTGCAGAAGCTTTTTATCTTGATGAAGTCCCAAAAGTTCATTTTTGCTTTTGTTTCACTAGCTTTTGGAGATGTATCTTGAAAGAAGTTGCTGTGGCCAATGTGAAAGAGGTTGCTGCCTATGTTCTCCTCTAGGCTTTTGATGGATTCCTGTAGCACATTGAGGTCTTTCATCCACTTTGAGTTTATCTTTGTGAATAGTGTTAGAGAATGGTCGAGTTTCATTCTTCTGCATGTGGCTGTCCAATTTTCCCAGTACCATTTATTGAAGAGACTCTCTTTTTTCCATTGCATGTTTTTTCCTGCTTTGTCAAAGATTATTTGACCATATTGTTGAGGGTCCATATCTGGGTTCTTTATTCTGTTCCATTGGTCTATATGTCTGTTTTTGTGCCAGTAACATATGGCACAAAAACATGCTGTCTTGGTGATCACAGCTTTGTAATATATATATAGCTTGAAATCGGGCAACATGATGCCCCCAGCTTTGTTTTTCTTTTTCAACATTTCCTTGGCGATTCGGGGTCTTTTCTGATTCCATACAAATTTTAGGATTGTTTGTTGCAGCACTTTGAAAAATGTCATTGGAATTTTGATTGGGATGGCATTGAAGGTATAGATTGCTCTGGGTAGCATAGACATTTTAACAATGTTTATTCATCCGATCCATGAGCATGGAATATTTTTCCATCTTTTTGTGTCTTCTTCAATTTCTTTCATCAGTGTTCTGTAGTTCCTAGAGTATAGATCCTTTACCTCTTTGGTTAGGTTTATTCCGAGGTATCTTATGATTTTTGGTGCTATTGTAAATGGAATCGTTTCTCTAATTTCTCTTTCTACAGTTGCATTGTTAGTGTATAAGAAAGCAACTGATTTCTGTGCATTGATTTTGTATCCTGCCACATTACTGAATTGCTGTATGAGTTTTAGTAATTTGGGGGTGGAGTCTTTTGGGTTTTCCACATAAAGTATCATGTCGTCTGCGAAAAGAGAGAGCTTGACTTCTTCTTTGCCAATTTGAATACCTTTTATTTCTTTTTGTTGTCTGATTCCTGTTGCTAGGACTTCTAGTACTATGTTAAACAATAGTGGCGAGAGCGGGCATCCTTGACGTGTTCCTGATCTTAAGAGAAAGGCTCTCAGCTTTTCCCCATTGAGGATGATATTCGCTGTGGGTTTTTCATAGATGGATTTTATGAACTTGAGGAATGTTCCCTCTATCCCTCTACTCTGGAGAGTTTTAATCAGGAAAGGATGTTGTATTTTGTCAAATGCTTTTTCTGCATCAGTTGAGAGGACCATATGGTTCTTCTCCCTCCTCTTATTAATGTGTTCTATCACATTGATTGATTTGCGAATGTTGAACCACCCTTGCATCCCGGGGATAAATCCCACTTGGTCGTGGTGGATGATCCTTTCAATGTATTGTTGGATCCTATTAGCTAGGATTTTGTTGAGGATTTTGGAATCCATATTCATCAGGGATATCTGTCTGAAATTCTCCTCTTTGATGGGGTCTTTGCCTGGTTTGGGGATTAAGGTAGTGCTGGCCTCATAGAATGAGTCTGGAAGTTTTCCTTCTGTTTCTATTTTTTGAAACAGCTTCAGTAGAATAGGTAATATTTCTTCTTTGAATGTTTGGTAGAATTCCCCAGGGAATCCATCAAGCCCTGGACTCTTGTTTTTTGGTGAGGTTTTTGATCACTGCTTCAATCTTGTTACTGGTTATTGGCCTATTCATGTTGTCAATTTCTTCCTGTTTCAGTCTTGGCAGCTTACAGGTTTCCAGGAAGGCATCCATTTCATCCAGTTTATTGGCATATAGTTGTTGATAATAATTTCTAATAATTGTTTCTATTTCCTTGGTGTTAGTCGTGATCTCTCCCCTTTCATTCATAATTTTATTAATTTGGGTCCTTTCTCTTTTCTTTTGGATAAGTCTGGCCAGTGGTTTATCGATCTTATTAATTCTTTCAAAGAACCAACTTCTAGTTTCGTTGATCTGATCTACTGTGTTTCTGGTTTCTAATTCATTGATTTCTGCTCTTATTTTAATTATTTCTCTTCTAATCCATGGCTTACGCATCGTTTGTTGCTTTTTCTCTAGTTCTTTAAGGTGTAGAGTTAGTTGGTGAATTCGGGATTTTTCTATTTTTTTGAGTGAGGCTTGGATGGCTATGTATTTTCCCCTTAGGACCGCCTTTGCAGTATCCCATAGGTTTTGGACCAATGTGTTTTCATTCTCATTGATTTCCATGAATTGTTTAAGTTCTTCGTTGATTTCCTGGTTGACCCAAACATTCTTGAGCAGAGTGATCTTTAGCTTCCAAGTGTTTGAATTCTTGCCAAATTTTTTCTTGTGATTGAGTTCCAGTTTTAGAGCATTATGGTCTGAGAATATGCAGGGAATAATCTTAATCTTTTGGTATCGGTTAAGACCTGATTTGTGACCCAGTATGTGGTCTATTCTGGGGAAAGTTCCATGTGCACTCGAGAAGAATGAGTATTGTGTTGTTTTAGGGTGGAATGTTCTGTAAATATCTATGAGGTCCATCTGGTCCAATGTATCATTCAAAGCTCTTGTTTCCTTGTTGATTTCCTGCTTAGATGATCTGTCCATTGCTGAGAGTGGAGTATTGAGGTCTCCTACAATCAACGTATTGTTATCAATATGACTCTTTATTTTGGTTAACAGTTGGCTTATGTAGATGGCTGCCCCCATGTTGGAAGCATAGATATTTACAATTGTTAGATCTTCTTGTTGGATAGACCCTTTAAAAATGATATAGTGTCCTTCTGTGTCTCTTATTACAGACTTAAGTTTAAAATCTAATTTGTCTGATATAAGAATTGCTACCCCAGCTTTCTTTTGAGGTCTGCTGGCATGGAAGATGGATCTCCATCCCTTCACTTTCAGTCTGGATGTATCTTTAGGTTCAAAATGAGTCTCTTGTAGGCAGCATATGGATGGGTGCTGTCTTTTTATCCAATCTGCAACCCTGCCGTTTTATGGGAGCATTTAGGCCATTCACGTTGAGAGTGATTATTGAAAGATATGAATTAATTGTCATCATGTTGCCCGTGAAGACGTTGTTTTTATAGATTGTCCCTGTAAACTTCTGTTGTATATCACTCATGGGGTCTTTCTCCTTTTATAGAACCCCCCTTAATATTTCTTGCAGGGCCTGCTTAGTGGTCACATATTCTTTCAGTTTCTGCCAGTCATGGAAGCTCTGCATCTCTCCATCCATTCTAAAGGAAAGCCTTGCCGGGTAAAGTATTCTTGGCTGCATGTTCTTCTCATTTAGTACCCTGAATATGTCTTGCCAGGCCTTTCTGGCTTGCCAGGTCTCTGTGGATTGGTCTGATGTTATTCTGATGTTCCTCCCTCTGTACGTAAGGAATCTCTTCCCCCTAACTGCCCTTAAGATGGTTTCCTTGGTTCTAAGATTTGCAAGTTTTACTATTACATGCCGGGGTGTTGGCCTGTTTTCCTTGATCTTAGGAGGGGTCCTCTCCGCCTCTAGGACTCGAATGTTTGTTTCATTCCCCAGATTAGGGAAGTTCTCAGCTACGATTTGCTCAAATACATCTTCTAGTCCTCTCTCTCTCTCCTCCCTCCGTGATTCCAATTATTCTGACATTGGAACGCTTCATGGTGTCACTTATTTCTCTGATTCTATTTTCATGGATTCTGAGTTGTTTTCCCTGGCCTCCTCTTTTCTCTTTCTATCTATTATATTGTCTTCCAGGTTGCTTATTCGCTCTTCTGCCTCAGTTACCCTAGCTGTTAGATTATCTAGATTGGATTGGATCTCATTGATAGCATTTTTAAGTTCTGCCAATTCACCTTTTATTTCCGCCCTTAGAGACTCTATGTTGCCTTTAGCGGATTTCTCCATTCTAGCCATTGTCTTCACAATTGCTAGCCTGAATTCCATCTCCGACATCTTGGTTATATCTGCATCCATTTGTAAATCTGCAGCATAAGTCATAATCTCTGAGTCTTTTCTATTTTGGGGGCTCCTCCTCTTAGTCATTCTGTTGATGGGTGTTTGAGGGAATGTATAGAGTCCAAATTATTGACCAGAACCCAAGCAAGATGCACCTGTTTTCTTGGGACCTTAGGGTTGCTGGCCTCTTATTTCCCCAGCCTGTCTTCTGCAGGAGGGGCCTGCCACACTGTTACTCAGGTAACCCTGTTTGGGCGGTGTTGCCCTGCCCCCCTGTGGCGGGGGTGGGCTCAGCGGGAATCAGTCTTTGGGGCTTTTGTTCTCTGGCGGCTTTCCCTGGTGGCTTTCCATGTCTCTTCCGCGAATCAGAGCAGAAGAGACTGTTTCCAACCCTCTGCCTCAGAGCAGAGAGACCGCAGTCTGTTCTTCAGTGAGCTCTCCAAGCCACACCGTCTCTGTTGCTGTCCGTGCTGCTATAAACTGCAGCGGCCTGGGTTGTGCTCCCCTCCTCAGTGCTCCCAGTCCTGCCTCCAGGTCGGAGCATGTCTCTGCCCTTTGTGCTTCTAAAACCGCCAGCTGCTCTCAGTTTGCCCGCGCGACCCCGCCGCTCCGGGTTTCCATCCTGGGGGCTGCCCCAAAGTCCTTTCCCCACCACTACCGGTCTGCGAGTCTGTGCCCATCCCCAGCGTGCGAGGCTGTTGCTCACTGGCGGTGTAGGATCCCCACGGCCAGGCACCCTCCCGCTGCCATTTATCCTCTGATACCTGCCCGCAGAATCACAGCTCCCCGCTTCGTACCTCGAAACCAACCACCTGCGATATTCTGTTTGTAGAGATCCAGATCTTCTTACATCCCAGGCTGGTTTTGTGGGTGCTCAGAGTGGTCTGGTAGATATCCAGCTCAATTCCGGGGACCAGTTGAAATAGGGTCCCCTACTCCTCTGTCATCTTTCCCCCTGAATCCTGTATTTTCTCTTCCTTATGATTTTCTTAATAACATTTTCTTTTCTCTAGCTTACTTTATTGTAAGAATATAGTGTATAATACATACAACATGCAAAATATGTGTTAATCAACTGTTTATGTTATCAGAAAGGCTTCCAGTCAACAGTGGGCTATTAGTAGTTAAGTTTTTGGGGAGTCAAAAGTTATACATGGATTTTTGACCATGTGGGGGTCTGTGCCCCTAATCCACACTGTTCAAGGGTCAACAGTATATCTAGCCCTCTTCATAAATCTCATGGATAGCACTGATTTGGCAATAAACAGTTTTAGAATGGGGAGCCATTTCTAAATTATGTTATTCACATTGGCTTCCAGGGGACCATTCCAGAATGTTTTTCCAATGACATTTTAAAGAATGACTTTCCCATAGATTATTTCTTTTACCTGGTCACTGCTTGGAAAGTACTGAATAAAAAATCCAAGAAGAGATCCAGCTGCCACACCAATTACCACTTCTAAGATTCCTCTGAGAACGTTAAAAACTGTGGAGCCTTAAAAACATATAAAAAGAAAAACTTCAGACAGAACTTTACATCCATAAATACTTAGACTTTACTTTAATCATCAACATAAAGCATCTAATTACATAGGAGGAAAAGTATACAGATATTTCCTGCTCTCTACATTCTTAAATATATGTGACTTAAAATGTCTAATAAAATGGGCCTATAGTATAAGAAAGCTATGCATATTATTGCAGATAAATTTCAAGACAGGCAAAATCTATGATTTGTGTACTTTTTTTTTCATTTACTTCAATAAAAATTTACTTAAAGGGCCTAAGAAAATATAAAAGATAAAATTCATGAATCAGAGCTAATTTGTTCTACTATACAATAGGCAAAGGCTGGGTGAGAAGACAGATCTAGTTTTCAAATTGCCATTTAAGAGCCTGATGTTTTGTTTTTTTTTTACTAATAATGATATTGACTTTAGTAGCTCTGATATGTATAGAATATAGTAACTTAAAAATCTGGCAATTAAAATCAAGAATCTTTTTTTTTAGTTTTATTTATTTATTTATTAGTAATTTCTACACCCAATGTGGGGCTCAAACTCACAACTCCAAGATCAGGAGTCACATGCTCTTCCAACTGAGCCAGCCAGGAGCCCCAAGAATCTTTTCTTACTACAATGAGTGAAGGGGACTTACTCTTTCTCAAAAGTTATTTTCTTTTCTTTTTAAAGATTTTCTTTATTTATTTGAGATAGAGAGAAAGAGAGCACGAGCATGAGCGGGGAGTAGGGGGAGAGGGAGAGGGAGAAGCAGGTGTTCAGCTGAGCAGGGAGACCAATGAGGGGCTCCATCCCAGGACCCTGAAATCATGACCTGAGTCAAAGGCAGATGCTTAACTGACTGAGCCACCCAGGCTTCCCTCAAAAGTCATTTCTAAAAGTAAATCTGAAAACAAATTATTTTTGAAATTGCTCCCAGAAGAGTATATTTGTTGCATAGCCTCTTTAAATATCATAATATAACTCATTGATAAAAATACAATAATAGTAAGTGACTTCAACACCCCAGTTACATCAATGGACAGATCATCGGAAGCAGAAAATCAATAAGGAAACAATGGCTTTGAATGCTACACTGGATTAGATGGACTTAACAGATATATTCAGAACATTTCATTCTAAAGCAGCAGAATACACAGTCTTTTCAGTGCACATGGGACACTCTCCATGACAAATCAGGCCTCAAAAAGTACAAAAAGACTAAGATAATACCATACATATTTTCTGACCACAACACTGTGAAACTTGAAGTCAACCACAAGAAAAAATTTGGAAAGACCACAAATACATGGAAGGTGTAGAACATCCTACTAGGGGCACATGGGTGGCTCAGTCTGACTCTTGATTTCAGCTCAGGTCATAATCTCAGGGTTGTGAAACTGAGCCCTGCATTGGGCTCCACACTCAGCGTGTAGTCTGCTTGAAATTCTCTCTCTCCCCCTCTCCCTTTGCCCGCCACCCCCGCTCACACACTCTCTCTCTAAATAAATAAAATCTTAAAAAGAAAAAAAAAAAGAACATCCTACTAAAGAATGAATGGGTCAACCAGGAAATTAAAGAAAAAATTAAAAAAAATACTTGGAATCAAATGATATTGAAAACATGACAGTCCAAAACTTTGGGATGCAGCAAAAACGGTCATAAGAGGGAAGTATACAGCAATACAGCCCTACCTAAAGAAGCAAGAAAAATCTCAAATACACAACCTAACCTTACACCTAAAGGAGCTAGAAAAAGAACAACAAATGAAGCCTAAAGCCATAAGAAGGGAAATAATATAGATTAAAGCAGGAATAAATGATATAGAAACAAACAAAAAAACCCTGGTAGAACAGATCAATGAAAGCAGGAGCTGGTTTTTTGAAAAAATTAATAAAACTGATAAATTCCTAGCCAGACTTATTAAAAAAAAAAAAAGGGAAAAGACCCAAATAAATAAAATCAAAAATGAGAGAGGGGAGATCACAACCAATATTACAGAAATACAAATAATTATATGAGAATATTATGAAAAATTATATGCCAACAAATTGGGCAATCTGGAAGAAATGGATAAATTCCTAGAGATGTATAAACTACCAAAACTGAAACAGGAAGAAATAGAACACTTGAACAGATCAATAACCAGCAAAGAAATTGAATCAGGAATCAAAATCTCCCAACACACCAGAGTCCAGGGCCAGATGGCTTCCCAGGGGAATTCTTTTTTTTTTTTTTTAAAGATTTTATTTATTTATTTGAGAGAGAGAATGAGAGAGAGAGCAGGAGAGGGAGGAGGGTCAGAGGGAGAAGCAGACTCCCCGCCAAGCAGGGAGCCCGATGCGGGACTCCATCCTGGGACTCCAGGATCATGACCTGGGCCGAAGGCAGTCGCTTAACCGACTGAGCCACCCAGGCGCCCATCCCAGGGGAATTCTAACAGACATTTAAAGAAGACTTAATATGTATTCTTTTCAAACTGTTCCAAAAAATAGAAATGGAAGGAAAACTTCCAAATTCATGCTATGAGGCCAACATTACCTAGATCCCAAAACCAGACAAAGACCACACTAAAAAAGAGAATTACAGGCCAATATCCCTGATGAACATGGATGCAAAAATTCTCAACAAGATACTAGCAAATTGAATCCAATAGTACATTAAAAGAATCATTCACCATGATTAAGTGGGATTTATTCCTGGGTTGCAAGGGTGGTTCAATATTTGCAAATCAATCAACATGATACACCACGTCAAGAAAAGAAAGGATAAAAACCATATGATCCTTTCAATAGATGCAGAAAAAGCATCTGACAAAGTACAGCATCCTTTCTTGACAAAAATGCTCAACAAAATAGGGATACAGGGAACATACCTCAACGTCATAAAGGCCATATACAAAAGATCCACAACTAATATCATCCTCAATGGGAAAAACTGAGAGCTTTTACTTTACAGTCAGGAAGAAGATAGGGATGTCCACTCTCACCACTGTTATTTAACACCGTCCTCGCCTCAGCAATCAGAAAACAAAAAGAAGTAAAAGGCATCCAAATCAGCAAGGAAGAAGTCCACACTGTTCTACGAAAAAATGTGCTAACTAGTTATGTGGTTTCTCATTATTGTAGTTTAGGGTAACAGAACATGCCACCCCAAGGTATGCCACTTTGGCATAAGGATTATTTTGAGCAGAAGGCAACTGAGAAGAAACAGAATCAAGAAAAGGTGTCTATCTTCCCCTATTTACCTAAAAGGAGGACATGAATTTTTAAAGTGTCTTTCTCCCCTCTACCAGGAAGGACAGAGGTTAACCACTGAGACAACTTCAAACTCTCATCAGCCCAAAGACAGCACCAGAAGAATCTGTGTAACAAACTTTGCTGGAAGCAGGCCTAGCTACCATTAGTGTCCCTATTTGCTGCCTCCAAAAGCTCAAAGTTCTTTTCCTTTGTCTTGCACATCTCTACAAAATTATTGTTCTTTGCTAAGATGCTATATATATAAGCCCAAATTCTAACCACCCCCTTGGAGTTAGTCATCACTGAGTTCTCCCCTCTGCAAGCTTGGTGCACAGGCTAACTGCTTTCCTCTTGTTCATTTGTCTTTTGTCAGTCTGATTTACAGGGCCCCAGCCAATGGACCTATGGTGGGTAGGTCCTTTCCTTTCTGAGAGTTTCAATCATCTCTCTTATTTAAAAAAATAATTACCTCTGTAGTAATTTTATTTAGCTAGGGCAGCTCTATGTTAGGTAATGGTGTGACTGTCAGAAGCATCTAGCTGTGATAGTAGCATATGTCTCAAGCAATTACAGTAAATAATTCACTATAAATGTGTAGAAATTAGCTAATTAGTTTCAGTCTCTTGTATGTAAAATTGTTTAAGAAAGAAAAAAAGACTTCTTGGGCCCACCTGTAAAATTTCTGACTCAGTAGGCCTGGCAGGGCTTGGGATCCACATTTTAAAGAGATTCCAGGTAGTTCCCACCCAAAATGGGTTTAAGGACTACATTTAGTGGAGCAGGGCAGAGGAAACATAGCATTGCTGACTAGGCAAGTTCTTAAACTATCCATAGCCCACACTCCCTGGATTATGAAAACCCCAGTAAGCCCTCCCCCCACATCCCCCATTTCTCTCCTTCCCCTCCCCTGTGGTTCTAAGGCAAACTCTTGCTCTAATGCCTGGCTTCCATTCCCAAAGGCTCTGCTTTAATTGGTCTGAGGTAGTGCCCACAGATGAGTATTTTTGAAAGCTCCCCAGGTAATTCTAGTGTGCAGCTGAGGTTGAGAACCACTGTTTTAAAGATGCAAACAAACAGAAAGTTGAACTCAGGCACTGAGAGTAGAAAAGTGGTTGCCAGGGGCTAAGGGGTAGGGGAAACGGGGAGAGGCTGTTAAAAGGGTAAAAACTTTCAAGATAAAATGATCATGAGGTCTGAGAATCTAATGTTTAGCATGGTAACTGTAATTGATAAAACTGTATTGGATAATTGAAATTTGCTAAGAAAGTAGAACTGAAATATTCTCAACAACAACAACAGGTAAATATGTGAGGTGATGGAAGTGTTACTTAATTCGACAGGAGGATCATTTCACAATGTATACATGTATACCAAAGTGTCATGCCACATGTTTTAAATGTCTTACAATTTTGTCATTTATACCTCAATAAAGCTGGGAAAGAGAAAACAATAAAAAAATAAAATAAGGAAAGAAGCATACCAGGAAATCAGTGAAAACATAAATTTGGACACGTACAGTAGAATGAAAATAAAGACAAGAGTGTAGATTTGACCTAACAGACAATAGGGAATCCTCATTGGTTCTTGTGCCAAAAAGTAACACTATGAGAACCATGTTTTGCTAAGGTTAATTTAGTGACTGGATGTAAGGCAACTTTAGGGCAATGGGGAAGAGGTGAGGTTCTAGGTAATCAGCATGAACTGTAAAATGGGAAGATAACTAGAGAGACTGAAAACACATGACCTTCCAAGAAAGTGTGTTCCCACAGTTATTGGAAGCTAAACTTAGGCTACAATTAAGTTTTGTCAATAATATGGAATTGCAAATTTTAATCTCCTGATCTTGGACATGGATTAAAAAGAAACTTGTGCTGTGCCAAAGGAGAGTAAAAGTGTTGATAATAGTCTGAGACAAAAAGTGCCTTGTGCCCTTCTTTTATTACTATTTAGCACAAAATACATCCATATCAGACACTTAGTGAGTACTAATAAGATAGCCATTAAAATCATTGCAGTTATTGCCCATAAAATGGTAGAAGAGAGCAGAAACTGTTCCTATTTTAGAAGAATGCTCTTCCTTCCCCTTGGACGGCTCTCTAGTCACTTGTGGTCTTTGAAAAACCTACTCATCTATGTGTGAAGTCTGCAAGATTTAACTTTCCCAGAAGGCTCCATGCAAAAGCTATTTGAATCCTTCCTTAAACTTGGCTACTCTGGATCCCCCACTTATGCCTTACCAGACCACTGGAACAGTCCATGTCCAGAGGGTTAAGGGAGTAAAATAGGAAGCTACCGGTCCCTCCTTAGGTATAGAACTAACTCTTGGAGTTGCTTTCTCTATTTCAGTCTGCCTTACCCAATTATCAAGCAAATATGCCTTGCTTGTCACATCATAATTTATGTCTTTAGGGCACAAGAGAACAGCTCATTGTGAACTGACCAGCTTACCTGTGGAAAAGGCCATGCCCAAGCATGTGTTGAAGCCAGTGATTGCCAGAATGTCATCGAAGCTGCCAGCAGCCATGAGTAAGGTCGGGATGCCTTTCTCAACCCCATAGCCTCCCTCCTGCAAAAGGAGCATTGAGGGTACCACGACAGCTGGAGACACAGCACCTAAAACAAAACTAAGTAGGCAGCACTTTAAACAGTTGATAGTGGCTTACTCATTGTTATTATTGTTGTGGAAATTCTAGTAAACTCTACTCTTTTAGAGGTTACACTTCAGACAACTACCGTTTTCAAATGGCAGTGAAGCACTAAGCCAGAAACACACACACACACACACACACACACGTTCTATAGAGCACTTTTTCCAAGTGTGGCCACAGACAGCTTGTACTAGAACTACTTAGGTTGCCCGAAAATATGTAATTATGGGTGGTACCGAAGGCCTCATGGGGTTAAGTTCTAGGAATCTGCCTTAAAAAACAAACAAACAAACAAAACCAAAACATTCATAGTATGAGGGTTGAAAAACACAGCGTGGACTTTTTAAACTGGAACCGACTGATGTTAGACCTTCTGTCGGGACTTGGTATGTGAAAAAGACAACGGATTAGGAGAAGGCCATCATGGTAGTGATGGCGAGAGTAACCCCAGCAGATGCTGTAACAGCCGAAAACGTTATACACTATTTTAAGTGCTTTACATATATTAACTAATTTTATTCTCACAACAGTCCTAGAAGGTGGCTACAATCACTATCTTCATTCTGCAAATCAAGTGATTGAGACACAGAGAGATTCATGAACTTGCCAAAGGTCACATACTGGAAAGTCACGGGGTTGGGACTGGAATCCAGGCAGAACAGCTCCACAGTCTCAACCATGAGAAGTAAGAATTTCTTGCTTCTTGCCTACTTATTAGTACTAAGTTCTTACTAAGTACTTTTCACATTTATTTACTTCTCATGACTGTTAACCATTCAAAGAACTGGCAGTGGAAGGAAGAGACAGCAGAACCACCTAATCATAATTGTCTGGTGTCAGAAGGAGAAAAACAACATTAGAGGTTGATTACTGTTGACACATTTATTATCCTTTGGACAGACTTTGAGGTGAGAGATGGCAATTTCTCTCACCAGCACGGAATCAGGTGTAGGTAAAACTTTTTCTTTTCTTTTTTTTTTTTAAAGATTCTATTTATTTGAGAGAGAGAGAATGAGAGAGAGAGAACACATGAGAGGGGATAGGGTCAGAGGGCAAAGCAGACTCCCTGTTGAGCAGGGAGCCCGATGCGGGACTCGATCCCGGGACTCCAGGATCATGACCTGAGCCAAAGGCAGTCGCCCAACCAACTGAGCCACCCAGGCACCCAAAACTTTTTCAATAGTTTAATAGTAATATTACTTTTTCAATAGTTTAAATCATAATCGCTGTACAAGTTAGACATATACTATATATAGTATATTTTGAAGTTATAATATTTAGATGATGCTGGAATACCTATGTTGTATTCCAGCATCTGATGTCCTTAAAATAATTTGTTATACATTCTCTTGTATGGAATCAGGGAAAGACCTCAACATCTCTGCATTATTTTCATATGACAAAAAAAAAAAAAAATCATTACCCCAGTATAAATCCCCATTGCCATGGTAAACCCATTAGGAAGTGAGCAAGAAGAGCAGATGTGCACGCCTCCACCAGACAAGGACCCATGGATAATCTTACACAAACACCCTTCAACTTCTTCAGGGCCTGAAATAGACAAATAGAGATACTAAAATAATCCTATAAAGACAGGTAGAGATTATGACATTAAATACTTTTTCTTCAGTATTCAGACCATGTCTGGATTACCATGAATTTTCCAGGTAACGAGTTTTAACAAATATTTCAGTGTTCTAAGTGTTTTGGAGATAGCTTATTTAATCCTCATAGCAACCTTATGATCTAAGTGATATTATTATTCCCAGTATTTTTAGACGTCCTCATCTAAAAAGGCACAAGTTAAAGTCATTTGCCCAAGATCATGAAATTGGTGAAATTACACAGCCAGGTTTGAACTCAGGCAGGGTGTTCTAGAGTCTGTACTCAATAATCCCCAAACTAGCTGATTGAACACTCTCAGCATTAGCTTTTTTTAATAATCTGTGGCCCCATAGAGAGGCCAGGGTGAAAATCTTCATCCCTAGGAACATTCATTCTTTCATTCAAAAACATATGTTAGTAATCGCATTAAAATAAGCATACTTGAGACTCCTCCTCTGTACCAAACAGTTTCTTGAGCTGGTATAGTTAGCCCTAAACACTTGCATAAGGCTTTGCACACCAAAAATGTAATACTTTCTCTTATCACCATTATCTACAAGGATGACCTGTATCTCTGTCAGAGAAAAGCAGAGCCTTCACTCTTAGTGCTGTCCCCAGACAGTAATTCCACCTCACTCCAAGAAAGAATATGGGACATCTTCTGGGAATAGTCAGTCCTGTGTGAAATAAACTCCATTCTCTTCTTGAGACCGTCACACAAAGTGTCTAAAGCTCAGTGGTTCCCAATAGTAGTAGGATCGGAGGAATACAATTCCTGGTCAACAATTAGAAATTTACACTTCATACCTTTGAATCAAGCCCAAGGCCAGCGCGGACCAATATGACACACAGGGCTATGCTTCTCAAAGCGGAAGACCACTTGTGCTTGATCTGTATGTTATCACTGATGACTGGGATATTTCTGAGAAGAAACCCAGCAAGCAGCATACCTAGAATGGAGAAGTCAATAACTCTTTAGTTAGTATACAAATACAGAAAACATTTTGGCACTTTACTTATTTTTGAGTTCATGTCTCTTTCATATTCTTTTTTTAGAGTTTTTATTTAAATTCCAGTTAGTTAACATACAGTGTAATATTAGTTTCAAGTGTACAGTATAGTGATTCAGCACTTCCATACATCACCTGGTGCTCATTACAAGTGCCTTCCTTAATCCCCATCACATATTTAACCCTCCACCACCCACCTTCCCTCTGGTAACCATCAGTTTGTTCTCTATAGTTAAGAGTTGGTTTTCCTCCATAAGAGACTCTTAATCATAGGAAACAAACTGAGGGTTGCTGAAGGGGAGGTGGAGGGATGGGGTAACTGGGTGATGGGCATTAAGGAGCGCATGTGATGTAATAAGCACTGGGTGTTATATAAGACTGATGAATCACAGACCTCTGAAACCAATAATACATTATATGTGAATTAATTGAATTTAAATTTAAAAAAAGAGTGTTTTCTGATTTGCCTTCCCCCCATGTTCATCTGTTTTGTTTCTTAAATTCCACATGAGTGAAATCATATGGTATTTGTCTTTCTCTGACTTATTTCACTTAGCATAATACTCTCTAGCTCTATCCATGTCTTTGTAAATGGCGAGATTTCATTCTTTTTTATGACTGAATAATATTCCATTATATATATAACACATCTTCTTTACCAATTCATTAGTTGATAGACATTTGGGCTGTTCCCATAATTTGGCTATTGTTGATAGTACTGCTATAAACATTGGGATACATGTATCCCTTCAAATTAGTATTTTTGTATTCTTTGGGTGAATACCTAGTAGTATAATTTCTGGGTTGTAGGGTAGTTCTATTTTTAGCTTTTTGAGGAGACTCCATACTGTTTTCCAGAGTGGCTGTACCAGTTTGCATTCCCACCAACAGTGCAAGACGGTTCCCCTTGCTCTACATCCTCGTCAACACTTGTTTCTTGTGTTGTTTATTTCAGCCATTCTGACAGGTATTTTTTGGCACTTTAGTTGTGAAAGAGACTACCCTATAATCCCAGAAACCACATCCTTTATGCTTAGTCCCTAGATGAAATAAGGTTAAATTTTTGGTAAAAAATTAAAACAATATGTCAAATTAGAGGAGCTAAAAAAAAAGGGGGTTTTAATGTGCAGATAAAAATTATTAGAATCAGGGCACCCGGGTGGCTCAGTCGGTTGTGTATCTGGCTCTTGGTTTTGGCTCAGGTCATGATCTCATGGGTTGTGGGATAGAGCCCTGCATCGGGGTCCATGTTCAGTGGGAGTCAGCTTGAAGATTTTCTCCCTCTGCCCCTACCCCTCACTCTCTCTCTAAGATGAATAAATAAATCTTTAAAAAATGACTAGAATCATTAATAATTCCTAAATAATTGAACCTGCAAGGGAGAAATAGGTTGTAGTATTTGGATAGAAATGTGGTCAAATTCTAAACATAAAATGTTTTAATACAATGCCCAATTCAGTCACTCTTTTGTGCGCAAATAGCAAACAGCTCCTAAAATTATTTGCTATGTCAGATTACCTGAATTTTCAACAAATAACCTGTATGGGTTCTATTTTACCTTCAAGCCAGATAATTTAATACAAAATATATAACTTGCTTTGCAAAGGCTTATAGCTGAGTTACAATGAAATAGACATTGCTCTGTCATGTCAGCTGCTGACTCTTTTGTTCAGCCATTCAACATTTACCTAATGCCTTCAGTATTTTATTTTTTTAAAATTTTAAAAAAGATTTTATTTATTTATTTGAGAGAGAGAGAGAGAGCATGAATGAGGTGGAGGGGCAGAGGGAGAGGGAGAAGCAGATTCCCTGCTGAGCAGGAAGCCCAATGCAGGGTTGAATCCCAGGACCCTGGGATCATGACCTGAGCTGAAGGCAGACCCTTAACGGACTGAGCCCCCCAGGCTCCCCACCTTCAGTATTTTAGACACTGTAGTAGGTATTAGAAATATAATAATGAACAAAAACTTGGTACTTCATGTCAAAAAGCTTTCAGCCTCTAGGGGAGCAAGTTAAACCGACAACCTCAATTTTATGGAAGCATAAGGCAGTATTGTATGAGCTCAGACAGGAGGGGTGAGTCAGAGGGATTCAAAGAAGGGAAGAAGGGGCTGGGGAGTTGAGAAGTTTCTGGATGGGTTAGCAGTTTCTTCCAAGACATGAAGATGAAGTGTGACACATTCTGGGAAGTGTAGGTAGTTGACAGTGACTGAGGGAGCTGAGGAGCTTGTGAGAGAATCGTGCCCTCGCTGATACCACATGCCCTACAATGGGAAAAACTTCTCCGTCAGACACTCTGAGGCTTCTGGCCTCTGTTCTTCCCCAGCAGTATCCTCTGTTCAGCATGTCCTCACAAGTACTGCATGTGAAATGATTAAACAAATTTACTGCAAGTTTCTGTATGTAAGCTATGAGAATAGATGCTAATGACAAGCATAGCTTTTGTGACTTGCTCCAGACACCATTAGGCCAGGATGCATCACTGCCAGGCATCTCTCATTGCTGCCATTTAGTCTAGAAGTTCTCAAGTTCTGAATTCTGCAGTTAGGGTCTTTCCAGAATTTTTGCAACTATGAACTAGCCTACAACAGTTGTTTTTAAAAGAATAATAAGGATAATCCATGCTCATGGTAAATTAAAACATTACTGACAAGTATAAAGTGGCAAGTACAAGACTTACCCCACTGCAAACTTTTGACCTTGATTCACCAAAGTTTTCACTCTTACGGGTTTTCTGTGCCTTTCCAGAAAGTTTCTATACTGATTTAAGCATGCTTCTGTATGTATGTGTGTGCCTCATTTTTTAATAGTTGCAATAGCATCAGGGTGCCTGGGTGGCTCAGTCGGTTGAGCAGCCAACTCTTGGTTTTAGCTCAGGTTGTGATCTCAGGGATGTGGGATCACTCCCCTCACCAGGCTTCATGCCCAGCAGGGAGTCTGCTTGAGATTCTCTCCTTCTCCCTCTGCCCCTCCCCCCTCCCCCGCTCGCTCTCTCTTAAATAAATAAATAAATCTTTAAAAAAATAGTTACAAGAGTATCTCACTGTTTGGAAGTACTGTAATTCTGGACCAATTAATGGACTTTAAGGAACTTTTCAGATTTTTCATTACAAACAGTGTTGATACGAGCACAGTTCAAAAGAAATAATAATCTAACAAGAACTCAAAAATATGTTAAGAGTTTCTTTTGGAGTTTTGTTAGGGGGGCATGAGGAAGCATTTTTTATTCTCCAAATGAATGTGAAAACAACTTCCCTGGGGCACTGTTTCCTTTGCCAATGGTCTGGATTGATATGGCCACCTGATATTGAGTTGGCAGATGACCCCCTCAGTCCTTTGTCAATGATGTGAGTGACTTACAATATATTGAGCCCTGTTTTGTAGCATTTGCTGATTTCTGTCTTATAGTTACTTCTACCATGGTTGATGTTAAGCTACCAATGTGATGTCAACGAATGTGCAATTGGGAAGAGCTAGCCAGTGGCACACCATTATATATTAATTCCATAATATCAAGAGCATAGATAAGGGGAAAATGCAGTAAAATAATTAGGAAGTGATCAATTTTGAGTATCTATTGGTTTTGTTTTTAATGCAAATTATTTAATTTTAAGTAAAAATTAAAATTGTAGATTTAATGTAATTTTTAAAAATTGCTATGTTTAACTCAAAATTTAACAATTGGCTTTTGGTGCCAGCACAGCAAATACAGAAATATTTTATGTTGATTTTCAAAAGCTTTCCAAACTGCAATTTTTAAAATATGATTTACTCTTGAAGAAAACAGAAAGTGTTTAGCACTTACCTAGAAGATGAGGCAGTGGAGGCAATGTAGGTAACTTAATGAGCCCCAAAAGTTTACCTCCAATGATGGCACAATAGAATAGGATTATAATTCCAAATAGGTTTCCTCCAGGAAGACATTCACTGCCAGTAATTGACCAAACTACAGCCCAGAGAAGAACCACCATGGTAACTGAAATAAACCAGGAAAACTAGTTTCTACCAGTAACTTGTCATATGCAGGCTTTTGGTATAATGTAAAAATTTAAAAAATGTTGAACATACATACAAATATTTATAACTATGTGTAAATTTTAAAGAACATCAGTAATATGAACAACTGGGTAATTACCAACCATCTTAAAAAGTAGGCTATTACCAGTGTCTTTGGATCCACCTATGGCCCCTCCTAATCCCATCCTCCATCTCCTTTTACACTACTAGAAGGAACTACAATCTTGAATTTTTTTTTTTACCACTCCCCTATTTTTCTTTATAATTTTACCATAAATATTCACTAGTTAATAAAAAGAGTAACATTGGCTATCTTTACTCTCTTCGTAGGAGAATGCTTGAACAATCGCATTCCAGTATTTTCAGTTCTGTCTTGAAGTAAACAGTTATTGTTTCTTTTCTATAGTCAATGTTTGTTTAGAATTATCCACATACTCATCTATTTTCTATTTTGATCATTATTTGTTATGGCAACTCAACCCTTTAATCTGGGACAATTACTTTGTTGCCTAAAGAATTTCCTTTAATAGAGGCATTTCTATTAGGATGTGAAATATGTTTCTTTGAAAAGCTTGTGTTGTACTAAATTGTACGCTGAAAATACAAAGACTCCTGTGAAAACAGTTGGGCAGACCACTCAAAACTCAGAACTTGTGACCAAAGTACTGACCAAAACCGTAATAATCCTAATAAAAGTACCAGCGCAATTAAATCTCCACTGACATTTGCACCTCACGGTCTCTTTTTTGTGGACTTAATCCCTGGAACCACACTTACTACCTCAACATGCAGAATCCTGAAAGCATTTGCTTTCAATAGAAAGCAGTTCCATCTAAATCTGATCCAGATTATAGTTTTCTCCATCAATCAAATATTTGTTGTTGTTTTAACTGAGGGAAAAGTGTTGGCAGCTACCTTATCTGTACTGTTGGCTTCTACATCCACATGTGGTTTCATTAGATAGCTTAATGGTGTAGAAAGCTGAGAAGTCTTTGAAGCCCCTAAGCCAGCAACTACCTGCCTGAAGGAGTTCAGCTTTTTAAAAAGTCCTCATTTTAGTAAGGCTTTATCTTTAATTGTAAGAAACCATGTACCTGATCTTCTTTTGTCTGTTTTTGTTTTTCATTGCATTTTGCATTCACTCGCTATTGCTTGATGATGCAAAATATAAATGTGGCAGGAAAAATTATGTACAAATGCAAACTTTCATATAACACTGACACAATTCCTTATTTACCATCATATATGAACTATTTCATGGTACAGAAACACTGTGGAAGAGCATACTATATTTCTCATGAAGATCTGTTGGTAGTAAATTCTTAGTTTTATTTATCTGGAATTACCTTTATTCTCATTCATTTTTTTTTTTTAAAGATTTTATTTATTTATTTGACAGAGAGAGACACAGCGAGAGAGGGAACACAAGCAGGGGGAGTGGGAGAGGGAGATGCAGGCTTCTCGCTGGGCAGGGAGCCCGACGCGGGGCTCGATCCCAGGACTCTGGGATCATGACCTGAGCCGAAGGCAGACCCTTAACGACTGAGCCACCCAGGCGCCCCTTTATTCTCATTCTTAAAAGATAGTTTTCCAGGGTATATACACTTCTAGGCTGAGAGTTACTTTCTTCCAGTTCCTTGAAAATACTATTCCTTGGCTTTCTGGCTTTCATTATTGTTTTTAAGTCTCTTAGGGAAATCTTATTCTTTGGCTGTTTTCAAGATCTTTACTTTTTCTTTGGTTTTCTGCAATTTAAGTGTGATATGTTCAGTACTTATGTTTAATTTCAGTATGGCTTCCTTTTAGTCTGTTTAGGATTTATGTTTTCCATCAATTCTGGAACATCCCTTCTTTATTTCTTCAAATATTTCCTCTTCGCCATTCTTCCTGTTCTCTTTTGCTGGAACTGGGATTAAATAATTAAACAGCCACAGTCCCTTCTCCATTTGCCTAACCCCAGTTTTCATACTGTCCATATTTTTTCTGTGTACTGCCTTGTAATCTCTTCAGATCTATTTGCTAGATTATCAATCTTCTTTTCACTTAATCTGTTGCCTAATCTACTGAGTTTTAAATTTCAATTACTGTACTATGTCTTTCATTTCTAGAAGTTCAATTTGGTGCTTATTAAAATCTATTCATATTTATAAACAGTTACTTGTTTTGTATTTCCTACCTCCTCTTTAACTTCATAGATTTTGAGAATATTTTTTATTTTATTTTCTGATAATGCAAATTTTTGAAATCTGTTTCCTTTTGCTTGTTGTGATTTTTGCTTTTGTTTGTTTGGTTTTGGGTTTTTGGGCAACAGTGAACTCTTTTCTGAAACTTTATCTTTGGGAATTGTTGGAGGTGAATGTGAGTTTTCCCAGATAGGATCTGAATTTGCTCCTACCATGTGCTTAGAATCTTAACAATCTGGGACACATTTTTAGTGGAGACTCTTCCTTCTTCCAGGAACACTACAGAATAGACAGATAAGGTTTTGTTGCAGTCTCCCTCTGCAGGGCAAGTTTATCTCAAATTCACCATCACATTGGGTTCCAGTTTCCCAATATGGGTGACGAAGAATGATGTCTCCTATGAAATTTCTCCCAACCTGGGCAGACTCAAGCACAGCATCCTATATTCTCATGGTTCTCAAAATGAATCTCAAGTTCACTGGCATTTTACAGAAGCCTCCAGAGTGAAAGCCAGCTTGAGTGCTTATTTATTTCTCCAAGTCATACTGTTTTTGGTGTCTGACAAGTTCCTGTTTTCTTGACAGATAACAGTTACATTTAAAAAGACTTAAAATATTGTTTTCAGATGTTTTCATTGACATAAGTGATAGAATTGTTCATTGAGTCTCATCTACCATATTGCTGGAGATCAAATCCAATGTCCCATTTTTTAACCCTCACAGAATTATTACAGATTTTGTAGACTGTGATGCTATTACAATGAAATAACTAAAGAGCCTTCTGTATTTTCCAGTTGGGTATAGGAACTGAAATTTCTATGTAGTATGGGAGGTGCAATGGGAAAGCAGGAATTGCCAGATACTAAATTTTCCCTTATCAAAGTATAAAACCAGTTTTGTACTAAATTCAGAAGGTAGAATTAATTTTTCCACTTCAAGACCACTTTTCTTTTAAACCTCTAGCGTTTCTTTCCTTTCTCATATTCAAAATGCAGTTCTAAATATATAGTAAATGTACATTTACAAGGTTTATCTAAATCACATTTAATTCAGTTAATAACTTACTTCTCATTTATGATTTTGGAAAAATCATATTTTCACATGTGAGATCTACTTCTTAAGAAAAATACTTAAGTACACTGACGGGACACAGGAAGGAGTACAGGGAAAAAAAGAGCAGTCTTGTAAGCCTCCGGAACAGAGGCACAGGAAAACAAGTAAGAGGTGTTTATATATCATGAGTTCCCAATTCTCAGGCAGCTTTATGGACAATGATCATAGAATTAAAAAAAATGAGTCTCCAAATCACATCATTCATTTATACCCTTTCCTTAATGCAATCCCTATCTGTTTTTACTATAAATATTTTAAATAGATATGTGCCATGATTTGAATGGTGAAAGTTTAAAAAAATAATAAAAAGGACAGAATAGGTATTAAATTATCGGTTGCCTTAACAACTGGTGTATATTTTGGAACTTAGCTAATTTCATTAAAAACATGTGTAGAGCCTAGAATATATCATATTATATTTGGCTTCCATTGTCCAAGTTGAGAATGGTAAAAATGTCTTTCAGAGCTCACAAATGAAGTATAACAATAAAGAAGCGAGTCTGATTTTTTTAGTAAACACATGTTTTAGATCAAATGTGTTATATTCTTCAACATATTTATTTGGGAAGCCATATATATACTCCAGTGGTGCTGTCATTCCTCAACATAATTTTTGAAATTGTATTTAAATTTGCCTTTATAGATAATTTTCAAACCCTTTCTCCTTTTTCCTGCTATACCACATATCTTCCAATGTACAAAATTAATACACACACACACACACACTTCCTTTTTGAACAAAAAACAGCATTACTGAATCTGAACATCCATCTGTTCATCAAATTGATATCATAATAATGTTTGTCTGCCTCCAAAAACCAAATCCATTCCTCAAAGACAATATTTGAAATAGTGCTGAGATAAACTCCCTAAGAAAAATCCCCCAAATATTTTAGGTAATAGTAGCTGTACCGGAATAAGTTGAATTGGAAATCAGGATCCTTACTTATAAAATGATAGATTCATTTGAAAGTATAAATTAAGCTGTGTTTGTTCAAACATTAGTTGCATTATTTAATAATAATTAAAACCAATATTTATGTAGTGCTTTTCTGTTTACAAGTGATTTCTCAATCATTTTTCTCACTGGAGTCCTAACGTAATCCTATGAAACTACTCAGATACAAAAAAGGAAAATATCCTTGATCTCTGCTCTTTTCCTCTCCCTGCTTGCTGGAATGGTAGTGGCAACAGCCTTGTGTTGAAGATGGTAGAACCCGTCTGCATGGGCCCCTCAATGACTTGTGGAGCAGAGCCATCTACAAAGTGAGTTGTTCACCCAGTAGTTCTTTTTTTTAAAGATTTTTTATTTATTTATTTGACAGAGAGAGACACAGCGAGAGAGGGAACACAAGCAGGGGGAGCGGGAGAAGGAGAAGCAGGCTTTCCGTGGAGCAGGGAGCCTGATGCGGGGCTCGATCCCAGGACTCTGGGATCATGACCTGAGCTGAAGGCAGACGCTTAACGACTGAGCCACCCAGGCGCCCCCACCCAGTAGTTCTTATGTGTGAGAGAAGTAAACTTTTTTCTGTCCTTTAAACCATATTATTTTGGAATCTCTCATTATAACAATGTTATCTTTTACCCTCTCTTTTTGAATTAATTTTTACCAATTACATACCATTTGTTATTCCTCTATCCAGTAAACCATGTGGAGGACAAGAAAATGTTTGTCTCAGTCTTTGCAAATTATTTGATTCAGTTGGTATTTTTTGTAGCTTTTTTTCACTGCTATTCAGGAGGTTACTTCCTTCTGTTGGTTCTTTGGCATCTGTTGCTTTGGAGCTCATAACTGTTTCCTCCTGTGTTTAAAGCAATTTAAGAATCCTTAAAACTGTATATTTGCTGTACATTTTTATAGTTACTGAGCCGTCACATCACAGATCAAATTTCCATTACTAGAATCAAGGCTAACACTTTACAGTGGAAATGCACAGCTATATTAGTAACTAATGAGTAAATGCTTGGAACAAGAACTATGTTAGGAGTATTTACCATTAAGTCCCTATTGGTAACATTATAAATGCTTGAGTCACATAGTATTCCATTTTGTTTTGTAGTACTGGGTTTAAAATCAGCCTATTTAAGATATTATTCAAGGCAATAGTTGGTAAATATATCAAAATGGGCCAGAAAAAGAGAACTACTTGTGGTGAAAACAAATTCAGATTCATTCATCTACTTGAATTTAAGCAATAAAAAGAGAGAGGGCGTAAAAACCAGAACCATCCCAGGGGTTAGGCTGGGAACACAAAGCATTTCACAAGCTCTCTCTTTTTCCAGCCTCATGTGGGTCTAGCTGCTAAATGACTACCAGGAAAACTGGTAGTCACACATACCGTACGAGTTTGGGGATTAAGAATGGGGAGAATTGTTAACTGAGTGATGGAGAATGAAGAGAATACAATTGTATCATATATTTGGAAATATACAGTCCCTTCCTTAAGGAAATGGTTGGAATATTCTAAATTTGGTCATAGGTTTACCTGTGTTTCTTGATATGTAGAAGCTGCATGATCCATTCCTGTGGATGGTTCCAAATCTTCACGTTCAATTACTTTATCTTCATCCCCCATGATTTATAACTAGAAATAAGATGACACAGGGAGGAGGAATGGGATCTGTTCTGAAGGAGAAATAGTATAGATATAGAACAAGTTGGAAATTCACATGAATGAATTAAGCAGCAGTTTGAGCAATTTAAATGAGTGAATTGCACTTATTTTTTCCCTTAGAATTCTGAATGTCTAAAATACTTTAAATTGGATTATTCTTAACTTTCTTTTAAAAATTTTTTTTATTTATTTCTCTGTCAGAGAGAGAGAGTGTGAGCGAGTGCACAAGCAGGGGGAGCGGCAGGCAGAGGGAGAAGCAGGCTTCCCACTGAGCTAGGAGGCCGGACTGGGGACTCGTCTAGGACCCTGGAATCATGACCTGAGCCGAAGGCAGATGTTCAACTGACTGAGCTACCCAGCAGTCCCTATTCTTAACTTTCAATTGCTAATCTTTTCTTTGATTTACAATATATTGTATTGTATTCTTATTTATCTATACTTACAATGTAGTGTATCTAATTCTTATTTACCTTTACCTCTCTTGACAAAGGCCTTGTTAATATTTTTATATTTCTTTCCCACCCTGTTTTCTGAGTTATTCTTCAAATATTCCAAGCAATATTACTGTTAAATTGTTCTCTCTAATGAGCCAACTTGATGAAACAGGAAAGCTCCAGGCAATTTTTCAACGTTGAAATGAGTCACCGAAGAGAAATCTATGGATTCCATCATTTTCAGAGAAACTAGAATCACTAATTCCTGCCTGGTTCATATTTCTAAGTTAAAGTGAAAATAATACAACATTGATTGAATAGCTACAATGTCTTAGACATCTACTCTCTTGATAGTCATTGTGGGTAATTTGAAGATTACTAAAACATATTTTTTGTTCTCTGTAGGCTGACAATATTCCAAGAAAAATAAATTTACATGAAGTAACAAAAAAACTTGTAGGACAGACCTATAGGTTGACTCCATAAACAACTACTTCAATCTCTTTGCCCTTGGCTTCCCATGCTATAGGCTGAAAAGCCAAAAACTCCAATTCCTATTCATTTTGGCAGCTCTAGGTGGCCATGTGTCACAGTTCTGTGTAATGAGATATAAGTGAGAGTCCCTGGGGAGGGCTTTCATTCCCAGACAATAAGGCAAAGCTTTCTGAGGATCATACTGTTTACTCTTTGTCCTCTAACATTTCTCTTTCTCCTCCCTAGAATGCAGATACACTATTTGGAAGGCCAGTGGCATCTCTCAACCATGAAAATAAAAAGCCCTTTACTAAGGGGAATAATTAAGATAGGAGGAGCTGGTTCCTTGACAATATCCCTGAATTGCTCCCTCAATCTTGGAGGTCAACCTTTGAAGTAATTGTTGAAACCACTGTTAGTCAAGTATTCTTGTTACTAGTAATCAAACTTATTCCTAATGCAACAAGTATGATGATATTTTAATGGAGGCATGAACTATACACCCTGGTAGAAGCAAAGAGAAAATTATGTGGGAGAAGGGATAATCTAATTCAACACATTTGCATACCTAATATGTGCCACACACTATACTAGGCCATAAAGACAAGGATTAATCAGACAGGACCCCTGCCTCAAGGAATCATTTTCTGTTTTACAGAGTGCCAAGATGTTTGCATTTAATATTCCAAAGAAAATTATATCCTTTCCATCACTACCACCATCATTATCACCACCACCACTATTTTTCTTTCTTAAAAAATACAATGTTGGCCAGAGTGGCATCTCAAAAAACCTCATGTACATATAATGATATAGTATGTATATATGTAGATATGATTTTTAAAATTTATAAACTCATTCCAAAATTTAGACTCATGAGAAAGAATGGCTTTTTTTTTTTTTTAAAGATTTTATTTATTTATTTGACAAAGAGAGACACAGCAAGAGAGGGAACACAAGCAGGGGGAGTGGGAGAGGGAGAAGCAGGCTTCCCGCCGAGCAGGGAGCCCGATGCGGGGCTCGATCCCAGGACCCTGGGATCATGACCTGAGCCGAAGGCAGACGTTTAACAACTGAGCCACCCAGGCACCCCAAGAATGGCATTTTGACAGGAAAAATATTGGGTTCAGAGAACCCCTGTCTTAAAGGTATGGAGGTATGGAAGCCAGTGGGATGTAAGGGGAAACTTTGTTGAAACATGCGGTGGGAGGCTGAAGGCAATGGAAATGAGGCTGGAGAGTTAGGATATCATGTTCCAAATCATGGCACTTGGCTTTCACCCTGTGTAGAGAATGACCCCCTCATATAGTAAGTGGTGATGTCTGCTGGGTCTGGAGTTGAACAAAGCTGGGTCTGTAGTCTAGCCCCATCATATACCAAAATTCTTAGCCTCCTTGTAACTAATTCCTTATCTATAAAATGGATATAAGAGTGGTTCTAACCATGCACATGGTAAACATTCAATAGTGGTGGTTATGAGTCACTCAAATCCTTCTCCCTAATACAAACCTCTATGATTCTTTTTGTTTTCCTTATTAAGTAGGACAAGGTTCCTCCCATCTTGAAGAATTTATGACTTAATCCCACTGATTTTCTTTGATAATGCCTTTTGCCTCTTTCTTTCAAGGCTAACTTCTTGAGGTGGATATAACACTCATCATTGTCATTTTTTCATTTGTCTCCTTAGTAGAATTAGATAGGAACTCTTGGGCAGTGTCTAGAATCACCTCCTTTATTAAATTTCCAAAATCAGCCAATTCTGCCATTTATGAAGAATATTTTTATTTTTTAAATTTTTTATTTTTTTTAAATTTTTATTTATTCATGAGAGACACAGAGAGAGAAAGAGAGGCAGAGGGAGAAGCAGGCTCCCAAGGAGCAGGGAGCCGATGTGGGACTCAATCCCAGGACCCTGGGATCATGACCTGAGCCGAAGGCAGACGCTTAACCATCTGAGCCACCCAGGCGCCCTATGAAGAATATTTTTAAATAGCCAACAAGTATAAATGATTATTTTTAATAGACATAATCTATTGGCTAAAATGAAGCCTTAAGAATTTATTTTATTAGTTATTCTAAGTCTCTTCTAATGTAAACAATCAAAATTTGGCATGTTGCTCAGTATATGCTCTTTGTGGGAATTTATATAGTTTTTGCATTCCAAAAAAATTCCCTATTCTCCTATAATCTTCACCATGGACACCAAAGTACTTATTTGAGATCAGAGAGTTACTGCAGAGAGAAAAGGTAAAATAAAATACTAGTATTTTAGTAACCCCAGGAAAACAATTTACAACTGGCCAGATCTGATTGTTTACTCTCTGCTATATTTCCATTTCTAAAAGAACACTTATATCACCTGTCTCACTTTAGAAACCCACTTAAATTTAGGAAAATGAAAAAAATGTAACCTTTGTTTTAAAGCAACCATTTTCATGGCACATACTGTTCATAGTCATTGAGTCTTGAAATTACAATAGTGTATCCCCTACCAAGAAGACAGTTTTGTCAAAAAAATCAGAAAATATGCAAAAATGACCTTTTAAGGAGTCTAAGATATGTCATGAAATCCATTAAAAAGTAGAAAGTTTATACTCCTTACTTACAGAGAAGCTCTCAAGTACTCACTTAGGGCTCACTAACTCTTACTTTGAAAACAATTCAAATGACTGCTCATCTGGTTTCCAAACCCTCAGAAGATAAGATGTTGTTAAGTTAAAATGTAGGAAGAGATTGTGATAGAGGCAAATTGAGAGCAGCCTGAGTGATACTTGACAGGAAAGAGATGGAAAGATAGCAATTTAAGGCAATAAAATGTGGGGATAAATATCTTTTCCATATTTGCAGTTTTGGCTTGCCAAGCATCTTTCTTCCTGACTTTTTGGTACCAGCATACTAATTTTCTTTTCCCATCTCCTCTATTCTCCATCCATGTGGTTCATGTGAAACTCATGTCCTCCTCACCTTCCCAATCCCCATGCTCTACCAATGCTCTGGAGATGAGGACAGGCCTGGCCAAAGAGGGAAATTCTTTCCCAGTCACATTGATTGTTTCAGGCATGAGCATGTGACCCATACCTGGCTAATAAGAGTCAGTTTTAAGGTGTTCCCTGGAACCGCTGAGAAAGAGCTTTCTTTCCATTGGGGTTGCTAAGCCCAGACTCACTATTGAAAATCCTTGTGATGTACAGAAAAGCCTCCAAAGAACAAAGTGACCACAGAGCAAAGCAGATCCTTAATATGGAAGGAGAGAAAAGGAAAGCCTCAAATTAATAACCACATTGTTGATACACCTGGAAGCAGCTCCTTTTCAGTTATAGGTAAGCCAGTAATTCCTTACCAGTTTGAGTTGGATTTCTGTCACTTGCCACCAAATGAAGTCTCAGTAAGAATCTTCATACCTGAATTGCCCTGAAAGATCCCCTATATAGTAACAGATGTTTAGGAAGATGATTTTACATCTTCAAGAAAATGAAAGGAAAATAAAATGATGTGCTAATATTTTGTTTTTAGAGTCATTAAAGTATATAGTATGACTTAGAAATGTAGAGAGAATGTTTAAAAAAATGTGGTATTCAATAAAATATGTGTTAGTTATCCAGAAAGTTAATTTAAACGAAATGCTTCATTTTCAATATTGCTATTTAAATGAGACAATTGTTTTTTCATTGTGTTCATGAAAGTCTTTTCAAATCTTTCATCCCAGTAAAGCTTCAAGAAAGCTGTTAAATTGAGATGCTTGGGTGTCTTGAATGGAAAAATAAAAAGTGGGGAAATATGGAGAAACTAGATGGTTTCCTAGTAATTAAGAATCACAGTTTAATGGAATAATAAAAGTTGGAAAGGCCTTTAGAAATTACCTGGTTCTATCTCTTTAATATTCACATGAGAAAACTAAAGCCTAGAGAAGCTAAATAACTATTTTCAATTAACACAGCCAGTATCAGCCAAGTCTCATAGTAAAACTGTAAAAATTTGTGAAATGAGAGAATTCTTTAATCTATATCTTTGATTTCATGTCATTTCTACCAAATCACTGCATTATACTTTTATATTTTTTGCTGTAATATTTTGTTTAAAAATCCACCATATTTGGCCATAAT